CTTTATGGGCGTTCTTTTGTGTGTATTCTCGTAGTACTGCATTATAAGAAGCGACTTAATATACATTAACATTTCAAAAGAAAAGAGAAAAAACCAGAAAGGCCCGCCGAATCCCGCTCATTATTGTTGAACCCAAATGGTAATTATAGTGAAATATAAAAAAAAACGGCGACATGTTATTGGCAATTTCATTTGCGAACGTATAATGCAATTACATATTAAAAACACTCCGCTCGATCAAACAGCTCTGCTAGCAAAACTCTGAACATGCTACAGTCGGGTGTCGTGCACCCCCCCCCCCCCCCCCCGTTTGCGACTTTTGTACACTACAATTCGGGGTATACCGTGTACTTTCCGATATGGGAAAATGGTTTATCAACGCTCTTGAACGGAGACTAAGTATCCATCTCGCGCAAGGGCGGATCCAGAACACAATTTTTTTGGGGGGGGGGGCCCAAAAAAATTTTGGTACCCCAAGAAAGTGGGTCAAAAAAAATTACGGCGTGGGGTTCGGGGCCCGCTTAAGGGCCCCGAAAAATTTTTGGATTCTAGATGCTCTGTGGTGCGATCTGAGGCAATTTCTGACCACTTTAACCAATGTTTTTTTGAGGGAAAAATGGTAGTGTACTCATTACCTGCCTTAATTGCGATGTCACATAAAAAAAAAAAAATTGGTTTCGTTTTGGGGGGGCCATGGCCCCCTTTGGCCCCCCCCCTGGATCCGCCCTTGATCTCGCGCATATTGTTGAATAACCATAGGTCATATGCCATAGATTTAGAATACAAAAGACCAGCCTCGACTCCATGGGCGCGTGCGCGTTCCTTTGAGATCGCGCAAGGCATGATGGGAAACAACATGGCGCAGCAAGATCTCGTACCCATAAGAACGAGGTTGAAAAAAGACTAGATTGGCAGTGCGTATACGCGCGTTCTGCCATGGGCGGCGCCATTTTTCAGCGCGTGGGGTAAATGTTGTGTTACGCGCACCTTTATTTCGGTAGGTTTGTATGGAAAGATATTTTTATGTCCGTAAAAGCAATATTTTGGACCTGTAGTAGTTAGGCTATTTCCCGAACAAAATTCAAAATCGTTAATCAAGCTGCATGTTCATTTCGAAGTTTAATCCATTATATTTCTCGTATTTATTTCCCGTTTTAAAATGCCGGTGCGCGTTGCAAAAAAAACCCCTTGCATCAAGTTGTTTATTTTAAGTGTTATTTTCTTCATATTGGGGAGGGGGATGCACGCCCCTTCCCCAGCCCTTCACCAAAAAATAGAACAAATAAATTTGTGTTATTGTGCTCTCCTCAAGTGACGTATCCAGCATCTGAAAATCTTCAAGCAGGCGCAAGCATCTCACAATATTGAAAAAGTGGGTAGAGCACATATTGGTACACTTTTTGATTTTTTTTAAATCATTCGTACGGTTTACCCATCTCGTTTGCCTATGAGTAGCAGTGGTTTTGTGAATTGCCCGTTGCAAAATATAACTTTCACCGTCCCAATGTTACTTCTATCAGCTTTCCCGATTTTGCTTTTAAGATCTCCATGATGTTGCCATCTACCAATGCCCCTAGCCTCTCAGCCTGGCCACGCCAGCACTCTTAGCGTCAAATTGAGGCCAAACATCCCTGGCGCTTTTTCGAAATATGCACAACCAACACACCCATCATCCGTACCCTCATAGCTCAAGCCATCCTCCCAAAAGGTTCGAATCCGCCAATGCATTCAGAAGGCCGGAACATTATGGGAGTGTAATTTAGTTTCATTCTTAAAACGGTTTTCAGGGACAATATTATTGTCATTAATAGTCATACACATAAATGCAATCCAAGTAGATTGTTCTCATCCCGAAAAGGATAAGAATATATTGTAACACAAATCTCCAAAATCATCCATTCAAACATTTCACAATTTTAATTTTAAATAATTCAACTGTAATTTAAAGCAGTTCTTATATTCTAGGTTTTCCTTTTCATTGTTTAAAACAATAATTTTACGAACAATTTTATCAGATAACTGATATAATATTTCGAGATTTTTAGCAACGCGCACCAATAAATACATGAGGAAAACAGAGCAAACTTCAAGGTGACTATCCAGCTTGAAATTGCAATTTGAATTTTGTTGGAGACATAAAAACTACTAGTCAAAAATGTTACTTTTACGGACATAAAAATGCAAGTTTGTGCACAAACCTACTGGAATGTAGGTGCACGTAACGCACGTTTTGCCCCACGCATTACTTCACGTAGTGCGTCCATGCGGGAACGGGGAAATGTCATAGATATAGAACTTAAAGCTATAGTCCATCATTTGCAGACATCCGAAAAGTAACTGGCGTAATTATTGTTGAAAAATAAACTTGGTTGAAAGATAGTAAGGGAACTAAACTCCCTGTGAAAATATTCTTTCTGGGAAGCTGTCATTTTGAAGTAATCAACGAAAGAAGGCCTTTCCAACCGTGCGTCTTAAGACATAAAAACTACTGGTCAAAAAGACTCACCGTAGGAAAATTTAAATTAGTAGTTCGTTTTGTTAATCGGCGAAGCGCGTGCAAGCATTGGCACGACGCACACGCGCGCGCGGTTGCTATAATTCGTCGGATCAGTGCGCAACGTCGCGTAAAGCTGCAATTCAAAACAATTCAAAACATGATTCAGTAACTTTTGATTTGAAATTGAGATCCTAGAATGCTGTTTTTCTCGGAATATACAGCTGAAGCTTATTATAACAATTAGTTGAAACTTCATCAGGTTAGTTCACAAATTACAAATGATGGACTATAATTTTAAAGCCCGAGTCCATCATTTGCAGCTATCAAAAGTAACTGGCGTAATTATTGTTGAAAAACATACTTGGTTGAAAGATAGTAAGGGGACTAAACTCCCTGTGAAATTATTCTTTCTAGCAAGCTGTCTTTTTTAAGAAATCAACGAAAGAAGGCCTTGTCAACGATGCGTCTTAAAAGCACCGTTGGAAATTTCTGTTTAGTACTAATAGTAGCTCGTTTTTTTTATTCGGCAAAGCGCGCGCAAGCGTTGGCACGCACACGCGCGCGCAGTTGCTATAATTCGTCGGATCAGTGCGCTACATCGCGTGTAGCTGCAATCGGCTCAGTGAGAACGTGTCAGTCAATTGCATGTCACGCGTACCTCCTCTATTTTCTCGTCCAGACAACTGACAGCAACGCGAGGCCAGCGAACGATGGCCGTAAGAAGGGCTTCAGAAAATTCCCAATTTTCATGGCAAACCACAACCGATCCAAACAACAAAGCTGTCTCAGATAGTTAAAGACATACTAAATACATCTGTCAAGGTATTTTTTTCTCAAAAAAAAAATGATTTCGATGAATTTTGACGATATTTTTTCACGGACAAATCAACTAAAAATTATGTCATGAAATTTCCGGTTTTTTCCGACAACGACGAAAGTCTCCCAAATGTTAATGTACTCAAAGAAAAGAATGAACCTTCATCTACGAAAAATCTCGTGAACGTGATGTCGTTAATATCTTAAGAATCCGATGTACACCTAATGTTTCCAACAACTTCCATTTTTCACAACGCGAAAAGATCGTCGCCATTGCATGCATCGTAAAAGCATAGAGCAAGGAACGCAAACATAGTATGACCTTGTGACCCCATACGCGCCGCCCGCCCACTGAATGGTCAAGCTTGAGATGGCCTGCTTAATATTCATAAGTCATTCATTGCACGTTCGCACGTGCTGTTCAGGCCGTTGGCCTACTTACGTTTGTTTACACACGTGCATGGGATTACAAATCATGAAATCTCGCAAAAGTCTTCATTTTTCAACCGGCGATTTGGACCAAACATTAGAAGTCTCCTGCACGTGTTTCACATGAAAAGAAGCGTATACTTTCCTCTATCTACTAAGCCTTGCCATTTCTTTTGGCGTTTTAAGAATCGAATGTACACCTAAAAACTATCGGCCCTCGCTTTTGTTGATATAAAATATGATTTTGTTTGACAGGCCGTAATAACACTTTATATTTGTCAAAAGCAGTTATTTTTGGTATCAAAATAAAGCACACGATTTCAACTTTTCACTTATTTAGCCATCTTGGTCAAACAGTGCTCGTATCCAGGTACTTTGTGTATTTTTTTCTGTAGTCTCGAATACATCTCGTAAAATATCGCTTGGGTTTTTGGGCCATGCGTGCGTGAAAAGAAACTGAGGTCAAACAGGGTTGTGTGCGTGACACGGCCACTGACAGGTATCTCGGACGCTGAAATCAGGCCCAATTAAAACATGATTCAGCAACTTTTGATTTGAAATCGAGATCCTAGAATGTTGTTTTTCTCAAAATATACAGCTGAAGCTGAGCTGAAACTTTATCAGGTTAGTTGTTCAGCACCCTGCTTTAGATTTTGAGCACTTTTTTTGCTTCAAACGAACAAAATGCACAATATGCACGCGCTGTCGATATAGTCTTTTTTACTATATCTATGTGAATAACTAAATAGACACAATCCAAATTGGGATTGAAACTGCACTCGGTGCTAAGCCATTGCATGGCGTTGAGAGACCTTTTCTTCAGTGTCAATAGGAATGGATCATGACAAAAAAAAACAATGTTTATCAAATGTTCATGCATAGTAAAAATTTAAAGAGATTCGCAAGCTCGCTTCGTCTTTTAGCCTTCATTCAATCCACCCTACCATGGATTACCGTAGACTGTTGTGTAAAAACAATCGTTCCCCGTTTTTCGGATTTTCCAAGCCAGGTTGTCCCCTTTTATTGACAAGAAATCGCAGCCACATATCAAGTAAAATTAAGGCTTCTGGTAACATACATGCACTCACTAGAATAAATCTTAATTACATTTTGGTATGCAGTTAATATCAACAGATAAGGCAATTAAAATAAGTAGACCTGAACGCTTTCTAAGACTCACTTAAGAGTTATTGTTATTCATTTGTGTCCTTCAGAGCAGTTACGCCAGTACTGTATGTGGCTCATCAATATTACTTACCTCTCATATTATCTGAACATGGAGCTTTGGGCTCATTGTCATGGCAACTGGCAGCAGTCGACTGAAGATTGCATCCCGTCTCCTGAGGAAATTAATAAAATGCAATAAACATATTGCCATTTACATATTTTCTTTTTACGCGACAGTTCAGCCACGCATTGATTGTTGTTATCCAGTGAATGTCAATAAATTGGAAGCGATATTATACAAATTGACACCAATACACGTTAAAATTAGTCTTGCGTAGGATAAAAAGTGGGAAGGGGCCCATTTGTCTGTCTCACTGTTTTTGCATCCTAACATTAACTAGTCAGTGGCTAAACGGGAGGGGTTTGTGCGGGATACGTTTCAACCCCCAACCCCAATCCCACCTCCATCTCCAGATCCGCCATCGACACAATCCAATATCGTTGCTGCCGTGCTTTTGTGTATTATATTCCTCGCCATTACACGCTACGTGTGACATCTTGGCACTTGTGAATAGACTGTTTGCACTGCGGCCATCTTTGAGGTGCGTGCTTTCGTTCAACAGGGAAACACATGAGTGGACCTCTAGTGCATTTTTTGTTAGTGAAACGCCATATATTATTTTCCCCCAATAACATTGGTTTGGCGGAAAAGGCGGTCTTATGGGCATCACAACCAACCCCGCCCCACCCCACCCCACAGCACACCCGAAAATTGCCTTGCTGCGCCCCGGTCAATTTCAAATCCAATCGAAAAGGGGAAATAAACTACTTACTGACCTGTTGGGTGAAGGTATAGACGGAGCCAGCCTTCTCGACCAAAGGACGACCGGATACGTTCAAGTGCGACACGCTGTTCAATTCGCACACTTTCTTCCGATACCAGTAATTGGCCGATTGGCAACCGGGGGTGTCCAGGCAGGCCAGGTGGCACAGCTTGTGCGTCGCGGTGCGACTCGACGAGATGTTCCAACCGACCAAGGCTGTGTCTATCACGCTGCACCAGGGTTGCATTAGGGCCTCGACACCGTCCGAAGCCCAGAGCCCGGCCAATAGAGCCCCGGCCAGGAGCAACAGGCTGCACCGTCCGCTAACGGTGGGCTGTGCCGTCATGATCAAGGCGAGCGCTCGTACAGACTGAGCTCCTTTCTACAAAACCTCTCCAATTATGACCGCTCAACGAATTTCAGAGTTAAGCGAATTTTGTTACCATGGTAAAGGGGTGGCACAATGAATCTACGTCATGAATTAAAAGGACACTGCGTCCCGGAAAGCGCCCAATTGGCTACAAAACGGGTTGTAAACGAAATGACATAGAAAATAATATACTTCCGAAAATCCATCCTTTAAAAAGTCGTCGTTTTTGTGTTATTCTTGAGAGAACGAATTTCGGGGCCCGGGGTCGAAATTTTGACACTCAAAATGTCGAGCTGTTTTGGTGGCAGAATGATTCCAGACGCACATGTTTCACTAGTGCATTGCATGTTGCGGACGTGCTGGAAACAACATGTGTGTGTGTGGGTGATGTGTGTACGTGTACATATACTGTCTGACATCATGAATCGTCTGACATCATGAACACGAGGCTGGGGCAAACCCCTCGTCCAAGATGGAGACATTATATTTACAGCTGGAAATACGTATGCGTATGCCACGAAATGTCCGCCGTGCCAAAAGTAAACAACTGAGTTTGTTTTTTTGTGCGACCTTAGGTTTTGTTTCCTTTCAACCAGACCTTCGAAATACAATTTGAAAGTACACAATGTTCAACATACAAATTTCGGCGATTCAGGACTATGTGCCATTCTGCCTCGTTGTATCGCCCAAATGGTAATTAGGTATTGATGTAAATATTTTAAGTTCGATTCTCCATTTCATTCCAGTTTAGTTCACTGAAGCGCAAAGCCAACAGAAAGAACAGTATATGTAATGCATTCACACTGAGATGCTATTACAGGTAGTTAGCCGTCCTTTTGCAAAACATATCTAATAATAAAATGAACAGGGGAAGATCAATTTCAAGTTTTGCTGCTTATAAATAATTTGATCATTTAGTGATAAAATTGACTAACGGCGGTGATTTCTAGTCAGGATTTGGGGGGGGGGGGAAGAGGGGGACAGTGGCGTTGACAGGTGAATCTCGGGGTTGGGGAGGGGGGGGGGAATTTGTCATGTAGACATAAAAATCGAAGGTTCGGTCCCATAAGTTTCTAGACCTTAGTTGTTATTTAAAGGCATGGCTTTCTCCAAGACGTTCTTAGCGGGGTAATTTACGATAGACTACAGCCTTTGTACTGTGCAGCAGCATGTCGCATATTGCTACGATAGAGGGCGTTCTGTTACCATCCACGAACATGACTCGGTCGACGAACGTCCTTTGCGGCCAGCCTGTTGGCGTCATGCTTGGGTTTTTTTTTTAAAGGGCGCCCGCTTCGGTGAATCTTTGTACAGTCCAATAACCCGTGTGGGCTGATCGAAACATCACAGCGCTAAGGACGTCTTGGAACCAAGACTCGGCTTTCTGCAACTTTCGGGTCCGGCGTGCATGACTGGACACGCAAGCCTTATCTTGTTGATTTAAAGACCTGGAAGTTATACATTAATTATTTACACACTATCCGTATGTTTCACTCTCAGAGGACGTGCACTATTGATGATTTCAGGGTAGGTGCGGCGGGAACCTGACTGCACCTTCGGAAACCATGCGGAATCGGCCCCGGCAACCAGGCACTCCCTCTTCTTAGCTGTCAAGTTAAGTGTAACTCTCTGTTAAGTGCAAAAACTACAGAAATAATATAGTCTTTTATGTGTGCGGCCTGAAAATGCCATGACCAGCAATTCATAACAGGGGAAAAAATCCATTGTGCTGATTTTCCTCATGTAAACAGGTTGCTAAGATACCAACAAAATGAATTTTGGATCGTTTTATGTATCACATTTTCGTTGAAGATTCCAAAACTATCGATGTTTCGGCAGGGCAATGCAATACTGAACATACAAATCCATGTTGCAATCTTTTAAATACATCATATTTCTTTTTGCTAGATTTTGTTGTTTTCGAAAATGATATAAGCCTATGATTTTTAAAGCCTTTAAAACAGCTTTAATAGAGTGTTTTGGCTTAGAGCGCATCTCATATTTTGTTTTGCTTCTGAAGTAGTCTGTAAAAACACTTTGCACCCAGCCGACAACAGCAAGGGCCAGCTGTGTGCACGCTGGACCGTTTTCTAGTCAAATTTAACTAGAGTGCTTCAAAGTAAATAGGGTCTGTTGGTCGGCCAAAAGAAAGAAATATCTGAAGACAAAAAATGCAGTTACACTCGTATAGATGACTATTAAAAATAAAATAAATCCAAGCATGTATTGTGATTTCTTGTTTTGTTTATTGCAATGAGATTATCATGATTTGATGCCACTTAACTAAATAATAAAGCCATCTTTGGCACGATGTAGTCGATTTGCATTATAAATTACACCATCACAAACGTTTTGGCTGTAGTGGGAGCCATTACATATCAATAAAGGTAAATAGTGGCGGATCCAGGAATTTTTGCAGGGGGGGGGGGAGGTTTCATCAGTAAATCAATGCTGAAATGTAGACATTTTTTTGTCCGGACACTTGGCCTCCGTAAAATCAATAGGTGGGGTGGGGCGGGGGGGGGGGGGGGCGAGCTGTTCAACAAAGCCGTATTTTGTGCACAGCGGACATTAAATATTACCAGTAAAGGCCTAACGTTTTGGGTGTCAGAGCGGGGGGGGGGGGGGTCCCATTATTTTAAATGCATTTCTATGAAAACTTTTTTTTAGAGAGCCGGGGGGGGGGGGGGGTTTGACACCCACCCCCCTTGGATTCGCGCCTGGTAAACCATTGTGATAAACGGCAAAACCTTCACATCTTCTAGGATTGCATTGGTTGCTATGGGCTCCGTGCGTGAACAGAGAGGGCGTTTTTTGACCAACGCGCAATTGCATTGTGAAACGAAATCTTACTTTGAGGAAAACGTTGTCGAGATGAATGTCCGGTGAATCTACGGAGCCCTTAAAAGGTCGAAGTCATAGATGAAGAACTAAAATAACTAGATTGGCCATGCGTACAAACGCGCGTTCCTGGCATGGATGGAGCATACATATCAGAAGAAGATTAATAATTTCACGCAGGAACAAATAATTTCACTGCATTATTTTGTACGCTCGGAATCATTTTGTGCGCTCGAGGTCATTTCGTACGCTTGAAAGTAATCTATTTTGTATTCTCAAATCTATTTTGTATTCTCGAAATGTATTATGTCGAGCGCACGCAAAATAATTTCTTTCGAGAATACGAAAATCAAGCGCACGACATAATGCATTGAAATTCTTTATTTCTTTTGTAATATATTTTATTATTCTGATTATATCATACCGGGAATGCGCAGCATTTATGTTTAGAGTAGATATGGCGTCTCACAGCGTCCTTGGAAACCTTACGAAATCGGCCCTGGCAACCAGACACTTCATCTAGTTAATCGTCAACTCTTCTCCTTCTTACAAGCGTTATTTAAAGAAAAAATACTACAAAACCAATATTCTGTAGGCCTAATAAACAAGCCCTGAAAATGCCTTAGCCAGAAATTCGTTTCGGGAAAATCATTTTTCCCCTTTAAACAGGTTGCTATATGTATCAATAAAAAATCCACATTTTCGATCATTCATGTGTCACTTTCCGATGCAGATTTCAAGACAATCTAAGTTTTCACAGGGCATTGCATTACTGAACTTAAAAAAAAATTCACCTGGAAATCTTTTACCCAAAACAATTTTTTACACAAAGATTGTATAGCTAGTTCAGTGGTGCAAAATCGGCAGCCCTCATTTCGTATGCAAATAGCCATCAGAATCGTGCATGCGCAGTTGAAAAGTGCGGCTGAAACGCACGTGATCTATGCCAACGACCCATGCGCCATAAATGTAGGGAAGTGTGTAACATGAGCAAGACTGATGTGCTATCTTCCAGTAATACCTTTAATTATGGTGGAAGTCGGATCTAAATTGGTTACAAAATGGATTTCACTGTATGCATCAAATACACACACGCACGACACATTCCGTTACTTGTCCAATGATCCAGTACACGGTATCTGTTTAGTTTATTGTCCCTTCTAAAGGAATGGCTCAGTATTCATGTCCCAGTTGCCATGCATCATCAAACTTCTAGAAACTTGTTATGTTTTCCCTTTGCACGGTAAGTTTGAAAGGGAGGATTTGGACTGCAATAGTTTCTCTCGTAACAGCTCAAAACGCGAATATTAATGACGCGAATGGGTATTTTGTTGCCAATTAAACAGCCTCAATTTTGGGGCGAATTGTTTTCACAATAACGCTCCTCCCATTGATGATATATAGTCCATAATATCTCAGATTAAGTTAATTGTGCTTTTACACTCTGAGCACGGGGAACACTGTTGCCCGAATTTTGCTTTAATCGTGAACTTATAACTTCTGAGCGATTTTTTCCAGCATTTTTGTTTTGTTTTGTTGGTAGTAAATAACCATAACAGTAATGGTAAATAAACACAATTATAATATAACCAAGAAAATTATCTTCTAAAATATAGTTTGTACGAAGGAGCGAAAAAGTTTTGAAGCGCCAAATGGCGAGAAATAAGTTGTATTTTATGCAAATATACTTCATATCCGCGCATGCGTGGTTGAAGAATTACGGCCAAGCGCATTTTGTGAATAGCAAAACTGTAAAAAGGTCATAGAACTATATTAAATTAATGTAGCTCTTTGAAAAAGGTGCATTTAATGTCCGTTAATTAACTTTAAAAATTCAACGGAGGGAGGGGCGGGGCTACAATCACTCCTCCATCCTTCTTGATACGCCATAGTTGTTGATCCAGGCTCACTCAGTATCGATGTGGATGGTAAGGCTATCTGCCCTAACGACTGGTCCAGCTGTAGGAAGGTAAGAATAAAAAAAGCAGAATCATGTAGCTTAGCATGTAGACTATTCCCTATGCTTGATTAGACCCGCACCATGACATTAGGCCTATGTTGATGCTCACAAACCTTCTGCAACAACTTATCATCACGGGTGTTAGGGGGGGGGGGGGTGTGAGGGGTGGCGGGGGGGGGGATTCATACCCTCTCCCCAACAAATCGTTTCCCCTCCCCCCTGCAAATTCGTCGTTCGTCGACATTGTCGGACCCAAGGGGGGGGAGGCAACGGGGGCGAAACGTTGTTTTTTTATCGACAGGAATGAATACACTTTTTTTGTCTTAAAAATTCAGGAAATAAATTAAAAAGTTGCGTTTCTTCCCCGCAAGCCATCAGCTACACATACCTTTTAGTTTTAATATTACAATTTGGAAATAGCGGACGGTATTGTTTACTTCATCCTCTTCCCCTTTTTTTGAAAGAGAAATACTCGAACCCTCTTGCCCCCCCCTCCAAAAAAAAATTGGTACTGGATCCGCCCTTGTCTGTCGACAAAATTGTGTGTCTGACGGCAAATATGCCGAAGACGAATAGCGCCCGCAAAGTCGGTTGGTTTCAAGCGATAGAACAATACATTTATGAACGAAACCAGTGAGTTTTCCAGTTACGCGGTTTACCGCCTTTACAATCGCGTGAGAGACGCGGTGGGATGTACACCATCTTTCACATGGGCCGCTTTGCCGACATTTCCACACACACACAAACTACAATCCTGGCCAAATCTCGCTGCCCCCCCCCCAGCACCCGGTCAATGTTGTCTCTCATTGCGCGGTGTGTGCTCTATCCGCTAAAGAGAACAACATTGACCGGGGGAGCAGGGGAGTTGGTGACTGTTGTAGGCTAAGGTTATTTCCAAGTGTCACAACCATTTTGGCCGGGATTGTAGCACGTTCGTTCATGGTGTAAATCGAGAATTTTTCTTTGTTCCTCTTCCCTTTTCCTTTGTTTGTACTCTTTTTTTCGCAACAGCTCTCATTGGTTTTGTACACTTTTTTAATTGAGGTCGTCCTCGATTTGGTTCCTGTCCTCGTCTCACCGATTAAGTTGCACGTGTGTGTCCTCGATTTACACCATAAGCAAACGCAGACTGATGCATAGGGAGGAGGGGGATGTATGAAATCAATGGCGGATACCGGCTTTTAGTAATCAGAAAAACTCTATACATAATAATACAATAGTACATGTAGTACCCTTTTCTTACCGTTTGAACGCAAATCGTTCCACGTCACCTTCTGGTTGGTTGTGCTGTAGAGTATGATTGGGTAGGGATGTGCTTCCGTCTCTGTCTCCCATGGACAGTGCACTAGCGAAGCAGACTCGGTCACAAGCAGCCAACCTTTATCCACTCCACATCCACCATAGTTGTTGTTGATGTAAAACCGCCGATCCCTTTGTTTTATGCCAATCGAGAGATAGAGAAAGAACCAATTAAACAACCACTCTACCATAGAGGGTTGGGTTAAAAATGGATCCCACCTTCACTCTAAGACTAAAACAACCCAGGTCAGAGAGTTGACCCGGAATCCAGGTTTTATTTGGCCTGATACATCTTGGGGTCAAAACGAAACTTTCATGGGCCAAACTAACGATGACAATGATCAAGAAAAGTATCATTTTGGCCCCGAAAAGTGTCATGTTGGCCCTGAAAGTATTGTGCCAACAAATAGAACCCGTATTCCAGGTCAAATCTTACCGTCTTTGGTTTTAGACCGTAGCTCGCAACTATATACGTGTACCAAGAGCTGTAATCAAGCCCATCTGAAGTCCCGTCTAATGTCATATCACGAGTCAATCACACATCATGTCACAAATACGGTCACAATAAGAGACAGCGGCGGATAGGGGATTTTCCAAAATGGGGGCGCGACTGGCGTTTTTAAATCCAAGATTTTTCAAGGGGGCTGAATGAGGCACTGCGGTTTACGCATACAATACAAAAGGCCTGAAGCAATAAATTAAGATTTGTAACATTGAGTGGCGACAATGCTCAGGGATTTTTTTTTTTTTTGCGTTTCACGCATTTTGTTAGTTTGCAATAACAACGCCACTCAAAGTCCAAAGAATGTTCATTGTTCAAAGTCCAAAGAATGTTTAGCTCATTGGATAGACTTTTACACTTTTTTTTGAGCACAGAGTGGAAATTACGCTTTCGATAAAACAGCGAAAAAAACAATGCACAACGTTTGGATCACGAAACACAATTTCGTCTGTATCACTCTTTATTTCCAAAAATCAGTCAATTGATCGTTGGAAATCACATGTCTTGATTTTTTCCAAAATATTGACATCAAGCCAGGCAGAACAATATCATGGGGGGTTTAGTACCAGTACAATCTTTAATCCAAGACCGATCTTTAATGATAACAATTCGGTAGGCAACTTTTGGGATATATGCAAATGACACTATAGCCCAGATGTCTTTATATAATTTTTGTTTTCATAAACTAAAACTGCAGCTATACAAAAGGACTCTGTGATGTTCAATTTATTAATGATCTTTCGGAGGGGCGGGGGGGGGGGGGGTCATCAGTCAGTCTATCTATTGGTTGGACTACCGACAGCCAATCTCTTGGGGATACTAAACTATACTTACTCTTCAATGTGACCGTCGACACTGAAGAACTGACCACTACCTCCAGTAAATGGAGCTGATTTGAGATCATCCCAGGGAGATGAAATCAGGCGGGTCTGTGTGAACCAACTCTTGATGTCCGAGCCGGCTCCATTGAAGATCAACTCGGCTCTCACCTCCATGCTGTTAGACAGGGAAAGCTTTACCTTTTTAGCAGAAAAGGAAGAGTGTAAAATGTGTTGATATCTTTTACCGCAAGATTAAAATAATCATTCCCTAGTTTGCATTCGAAATTAACCAAATTATTACAGTGTATTCATGACATACTTACTCGTCGGACATTCAGCTGCCCGTTGCGCCAGGCTTGGTAAAGGCAATTATCACGGCGATGGCCACTCGCCTCATAACTCGAGGTCCAGTTCATTGTGGTCCACATGTCATGCAGCTTGACTCCAGTTCCTGCCACGCCTTTGAACACCAGTCGCCACTCTGGGTCTGTATAATAGAGCATTTTCCCGATTTTCGTATCTCCCTGACAAACCCGACTTTAACATACTTACACCAACACAATATCAACTTTTAAAAGTCGTCAGAACGTTTGTTGACAATCAACGATGACATCATTTAGTCAGTTTTTCTGGTCAAAAGGGGGCTTATAGCATATGTTACCTGTGACGTCATACCAACAGGAAACTGACAGGCAGCGCAAACATTTAAGCAGTTTTGCATGTTACATGTATTTGGCCCATCACATTTCACTGCGTTAACAGTTTACAGATAAAAACTGTGTAAAACGTATACAATTATGGTATATAAAATAAACATAATGCGTAACAAAAATAGATAATAATAAAAACAAAACGCAGACTGACATGTAAACAAATTTTGTAAAGACCTTTTCCATTCAAATGCCCTTTTTTTCATCAGCGCTTACCCCCTACCCCAATATTAGTAAAGAGTGCCCTTCTCATGTTGTGTTACACAACAAAATCAATGGCGTTTGAATCAGGCTCATAGGTGTTTGCCCTTTCTATTCTGTAAGATTAACATTATTTACTTTTAGCATGTTTTATATATCTTATTTTCAAAACCTATCAAAATGCTTAATATTATAGGAATCCCCATTAAATAAACAACAACTTGATTTTTCAATTAGGTTTACCACTCATCTCATAACCAAAAAGTTACGACCCCCCCGACCTTCGCACTGTCCGGGCGCGCGCCGAGCAAACACCGCGATGCGACCAGACAATGCCAGACGGCCCGCCGTTACGCACGGGCAAAGCATAGTTCCAATCCCGCGCTCCACCCAACGGGATAAGTGTCCACGCATTATCACTGTGAATACCGCGGTACCAGACAAAGTCTGGCAATGGCCAATCCCGCTCCAAACAACACGGCAACACGGAACATGCGTGCATGATATCACTCAGTTCATCAAAACGACCATGAATTCTCGGATCATCTGATTTGAATCCAATGGCTTCGAAGAATTTTAAGATCATGGCAAGAGGTAGGGAGTCCAGAGGTTTTGGCCGTATATCTGTAACCACGCAAAATTAGTCAATTTCAAACCGTGCTTATACATGTAATAAGTATCAACATGGCTCTAAAAATACAAAAAAGTATCCTGGTACTGACTCCTATTATTAAAACATTCATTTAGAACTTTGCATTCATTTGGATGGAAAAACGAATTCTGAAATCGCGCTTTCCATATCGACAATTTGCGCCAAACATTACCGTATGAGCCGGAACTTTCATTTAAATCACCGTGTAAAAATAAAATCTACTTGATAAATCGTAACTGTTTTAATTATATCTTTATGAGAAAAAAAAAGGTACGGACTAGTACACTCGATCGTACCAAGAAAGTTCAGACTTTTACTGAAATAGTGGCCTATAAAAAGAAATGATTAAGCTTGCTGCACCTTGCCGCAAATCATTTTTAAAGGTCGGGGTACAGAGGCGAAACGAGACAATTTTGTACAACACTGCAACCAGACTAGTCTACTACCACATGTTATTGTAGGCAGATGGGATTGGTGCCAGACTTATGTAGTCTGGCACGCGGTAACAGTTATAACGCTTGCACGCACGTGGAAAGCTGAAGCGCAGGCTAGGCGAAGATGCTACGTACGTGAGTACGTTCAATGCAACCATTTCCAGTTCATTCGTGCGTACATTGTATATGCGTTCGTTTCACGAAACCCACTGCGGCAGAATCTCGAGGGTTTGATACGGTAAAAAATTAACATTAATTAGAATAGAAAACACATCAAAATGGGCGGCCTCGAGCCGACCTCGACCGATTCGCCGAGATAGGAAGGCTCCGAGGCCAAGGCCAAGGCCGAGGCCTTGCACCTCCGAGGCCAAGGCCGAGGCCAAGACCACGAAAATCGGCCTTGAGGCCGGCCTCGAGGCCGAGGCCGGCCTCGAGACCTCCAACACTGAAAATTTAACTTTTCATTTAGAAAGCCTATTAACGATTTGGGAAGGGAAGTCATTGTATGGCAGGCATTAATGGTTTTATACCATTGTTAATCTGTTACCTTGGTTAATGCATTATAAATGGGAAGCCGAAAAAGACAGGGTAAGGTGGAAGACATGAACGTTGAATCCCGCCTCGAATCAATTAAACAAAAAGATATTTATTGGTGTTGAATTTTATTGACAGTGTTGTCTTAATAAGCGTTCTTTTGTGTGTATTCCCGTAGTTACTGCATTATATATAAGAATCGGCTTAATGTACATTAACATTTCAAAAGAAAAGAGAAAAAAAACAGAAAGGCCCGATGAATCCCGCTCATTATTGTTGAACCAAAATGGTAATTATAGTGAAATATCAAAAACGGCGGCAATTTCATTGGCGAACACAGTGCAATTATATATTAAAACACTCCGCTCGTTCAAACAGCTCTGCTATCAAAAGACTGTAGGCCTACATGCTACAGGCAGGTGTCGTGCATCCCTTTGGGATTTTTTTTACCCAACAATCTGGGGTATACCGTGTATTTTTTTTCTATATATGCGAGAATGGTTTATCAACGCTGTTTAACGGAGACCCATCTCACGCACGCCCCTTAATATTGTTAAATAACTAAATAGACGAATTTCAATTGGGATAGAAACCGAGGCACCTGGTACTAAGGCATTGTATGACATTGTGGGACCGTTTCTTCAGTGTCCGAGGGAAATGATAATGACGATTGAATATTTTACCGACCAGCGAAAAACAAGTCTTCATGCACAGTAAACAGTGAAAGAGATTCGCATCATTGTTTCGTCTTCTAGCCTTATGATCCGCCCTACCATTCCATTGTTGTAAAAAAACAATTGTTCCCCGTTTTTCGGATTTTACAAGCCAGTTTGTCTCCTATTATTGACAAGAAATCGCCGCCAAATTAAGGCTTCTATTTGCAGACAAGCACTTTCTTGATTAAATTTTAATTACATTTTGGTATGGAGTTAATATCAACAGAAAAGGCAATTAATTAAAAGTAGACCCTATAGACGCTTTCTAATATCATTGATGAGCCTTGAACGTGGTTCATCTTGTGTCCTTCAAAGCAGTTACGCCAGTACTTTATGTGGCTCATCAATATTACTTACCTCTCATATTATCTGCACACGGAGCTTTGGGCTCATCGTCATGGCAACTGGCAGCAGTCGACTGAAAATTGCATCCGATGTTCTGAGGAAAATACATAAAACAAAATAAATGTTTGCGATTCGATATTATAGTAATTGACATTAATGCACGTTAAATATATTTGTGTCCCCATTTATTGTATCATTGTTACATTAATTATTCAGCGGCGGAACTGGTGGGATGTGTATGTTGCAAAGCGGAAAGTGAAAGTCTAGTAGTATTGTTTGTTTTTTTTCAGATCAGGGGGTCCCCTTTTTATTTATAATGGTTTTCATGTGGTTTTTTTTTGCCTCTGAAATGTTTTGCCTCTGGTTGGTCGGGAAAGAGGCAGTTGCACCCGTATAGGCTAGATGGCTAAATTAAATTATGCCAAGTACGAGTTGCCTTTAATTTTGTTTATTGCAATGAGTTTATCGTGAGTTCATATCATATCACCGACTAAACATTAATATAACAAAACCATATTTGGCAACATGTAGTCGAGTTACATTCTATCTGCACTAAGCATCTCACTAACGTTGTGGCTGTATAGTGACAGCCTTATTTACCAGTAATGGTATACCATAGACACCTAATACGAGAGGCAACATCCCCTCACCTTCTGGGATTCCACTGGCTGCTATATGCTGTACTTCGCGTTAAAATATGTTAATCATTTTAGCTTTTCAAATAACACAAAGCATGGTTGCCAGAATTTTGTATTTCTTATTCTTTTTTTGGGTGTTTTTTGTGTTTTTTTTTTTGTTTCGCTGATGGGTTCCAGAGAGGGTCAGCGGCAATAAAATTAAAGCAGGTTTTGTTTTTTTCTTTGGTCAGAAACGAGAACCAAAGAAATAAAATGGGATGCATAAAAAAAAATACCTGAAAAGTATCCCCCCCCCCTTCTAAAAAAACTTCCTTGCTGCGCCGCGGGCAATTTTAAATCCAATCGATCTGGGAAATAAACCACTCACTGACCTGTTGGGTGAAGGTATACACGGAGCCAGCCTTCTCGACCAAATGACGGCTGGAGACGTTCAAATGCGACACGCTGTTCAATTCGCACTCTTTTTTCGGATACCAGTAGTTGGCCGATTGGCAACCGGGGGTGTCCAGGCAGGAAAGGTGGCACAGCTTGTGCGTCGCGGTGCGACTCGACGAGATGTTCCAACCGACCAAGGCTGTATCTATCACGCTACACCAGGGTTGCATTAGGGCATCGACCCCGTCCGAAGCCCAGAGCCCGGCCAATAGAGCCCAGGCCAGGGGCAACAGACTGCACCGTCCGCTAACGGTGGGCTGTGCCGTCATGATCAAGCCGAGCGCTCGCACAGACTGGGCTCCTTTCTACAAAACCTCTCCAATAATAGGCTAAAGCTGCGGATCAGACGTTCACGTGTGCCTGCAAAGCCACACTACGAACGACTGATATATCCGTACATGTAACTTTTATGCGACACTGCACACCAGCCAATCGTAGCCGCCTTTAGAAGCTATAACGTCATTTGGGCCAAAAAAAAAAATATTCGGTCTCTGGTCAGACCAAAGTTCCGGAATTGACGCGGCCACGCGGCTTTTTTTTTTTTTTTTTGCTTTTTTTTCTCTTCAAGCTTGCATTGTACAGACAAGGTGGGTACTATTTTGCTCTTTTGGTGTCCTCATGAACATCGGTGTCCTCCATAATTTGCCTTGGTGCAATTTCCTATTCCTTGGTGCTCTTTGGTAAAAAGAAATTGAGGAGGTGCGGAAATAGAGGGCGCTGTTGGAGCTACCGCGGAACATTTTGCAAAAAAAAAAGAACGACGCGCATGATTAAAATCGACGCGCGAGCTGACCAGAGACCGACTTTTTTTTTTTTTGGCCTTACAGTAGATATTCGGCCAAAGCTCTTGATTGGTCAATAGCTGTAATGTTTTTTTGCCATACAACGGGTTTAATACCGAAGACACGATAGTCTAGCAAACATATCGACTGATGGAGTTAAGACCACACTTCAAGGTGATCCGCGCCGTTTTTTTCCAGACACTATTTTGCTAGAATATTGCCATGAGATATGTATCGTCCTCCACAGACAATACTACAATAATCTAAAGATGGCATAACTAAGCTGACAAAGAGTGCATGCTGCGTTGGGGAACACAGTCGCGGATTCTATTTATATAGCATACCTAGTTTAAAGGAAACTGTTTTATTCATGTATTCAACGTTTGGGCCCCAACTTAAAGTTTCCTCAATAAAAATACCCAAACATTTATATGTGTTCACCTGTACGACTGCACCACCAGCGATACTGGCATTAAGGTTAGTACTGCGAACGTTTAGTTTAGTTCCAGTGAGCATTGATTGATTTTGATGGCGTTTATTGATACATTTGTTCCCGACACACCAATCGTATATTCTAGCTAGGGCTGTATTGAGGTTGTTCTCTATCTCATCAACACTCGCCCTGGTAGAACTACACGTCAATGTAGAGTCGTCAGCATACATGAACAAATTACACTCTTTAGGGATATACAAAGCGGTAGGTCACTTGTATAAATAATAAATAACATTAATATTTAATATGACCGTCCCTCGCAAATTCGTTACCATGGTATTGTTAACTTTAATAATTAATACCAAAAACGGAAGGACGATTTTTTTAGCGGGTGAAAAAGAGAGGCACAATGAAACTGCAATAATTGTCGTTAACTTCTTGAATTAATTGTAGGCTTCGCTTTCGCCTGAATAAAGGAGTCGTTCATTAGTGAAAGGTCGCAGTCGTGATGTCCAAATGTCAGCGACAATTTGCAGCAACTCTACCACCACGATCACTTCAGACTGGAATATTGAAATTCTGCATCTGGCTCAGCAGTTCTGTTCAACTTGTTACCATAGTAACAGACGAACAAATTTTTTTTTTTCATTGTGTTAGGTACTGAGCATAAAACAGCCTCTTGCGCCCAGGTGCAAGGTACAATCAATAATACGAAGGACCTGTTTTCTTCAATGATAACACCACTGAAAAAGAACGAAAAATGTTCAATTCCTAATCTGATGAACTGTCAGCTCAGTGAATATAACACGTTTTGAGACCAAAAAGAAAAACAATGAAAAACGACACGCACTTTTTGATCACGAAACATGATTTCGTTTAAAGCAATCTTCGTAAAAAAATCAGTCAGTTGAGTGATCGTTGGATGGAAAACACCAACATTTAATGATTTCTTCTAATGACAGCAAGCCAGACGGAATAATTTCACGGAGTACCAGTACTTTCTTTAATACTAAGTACTAAGCTTTTCGATAAATTATCCGGTTAGAATAAATGCATATGATCCTAAAACAAATTTGCCTTTAAGTTGATCGAGTAATTCGCCGAACAGGAATATAATAACGTCCGTTCTTCGCAGTAAATGAGCTTGCCTTCGCAATGGGGAGAGGGTCCCATATCGGTGAATAGCGCTACGATGAATAGCGCCACCTATCGGACAATAGGTGGCGCAACAATATGTCTCCATAAAGAGTATCAAGCACATCACAATGAACAAAGAATGAACATGGTTCTAGTCGTAGACTTTCAGCCCAGATTTTACAGTTAAAAGACACAGTGACAATAAATTTATTCAAATATTACAATTTCAGAATAATGTAAGGTCAACCTTAATTAAAAGGTACGTGTTTTACTTGGACTTGCTATTTAAAAGCATTACAAGGTGGACATGTGTTAAAGGCGTAGCCAGCGGGGGAGGTTAAAGGGGGGGGGGGGGGAGGTTGGGGGGGGGGTTATTTTGTAAAGAATGCCCTTTTTCATTCAAATGTTTTTTTCACCAGCGCTTAACCCCCCCCCCCCATATTTGTAAAGAGTGCCTTTTTTTGTTAACAAGTGCCTTTTTTTCTGAACAAGTCCCCTTAAAAAATCGCTCCCTTTTTGTGCAATCGGCCGTTACGGGTGACTTTTCTGAATTATCGCGCATGTATCGCTCTAAAAAGCATCATAATCAGTGCGTTCGATTACTCCCCCAGCTTACTTGCGCCTGGCTCCTCGTGTAATGATAGACATGCGCAGTGGAGCTAAATAAATGAACGGTTTCGGGTAGAGTTTCGTGCAAGACCTGGAAACATGGGCGTCGCCAGGATTTTTTTCTAATCCTGTTTTTCTCAACATATTCTCGATTTATCAGTTTTAGAGGGGGAAGGGACATTTTGCCCCCCCCCCATTAAATTTACACCAATATGACTTCTTTTTTTGCTTTTCCGGGGGGGGGGGAAGGTTGCAACCTGACGACACTTTTTTCTTTATATATCATCTCAATAAAGGTCATACATTGCAGAAATGACGATAAGATATGAATCTGGGACTGAGAAATATTTCCAATTTTGTTAGGAAAAATTGTCTTGACTCTCCATAGACTTTGTACACGATCGCGGAAGTGGCGTCAGGTTGCAACATTTTTCCCAGGCTGCATCCTAATCAATTAACTGTCTAGATCAGAGCACGTCCACGCCCATTGAAAATACGCGGGGACGCGCTGACAATAATTCGTAGCCGTAGCTCCGTTCATAGGGTTTGTAGCTCTATGCTCCGTGGAAGCCGTTTCGGACACGGCCTGATGAGGCGCCCGCCGGACGTTGCATGGCCTTATGGGATACTTATTCGAGTGACCGGCTCGGCGAGTCAGTTACTTGGGCCCAGACTCGACTCCAGGGGCGCGTGCTCGTTCCTTACACTAACCCCTGGCTGTGATGATGACGTAATTGACGCTGAGTGGCTATTCACAGCGTACTGCGCGCAGGCATTTCGAAGATTGCACGCCGGGTGCGCCCATAATGCGCTCGCGCTCGCGTGCTTAGCTTTGCACGTAACGTCACGTACGAAAAAAAAAAATTATGATTCAAAAGTCGCAAAGCCTGTACGATATGGATTATGTCAGCCGCGTTTTTCGCTAAAAAAAACCCTGTATCTGTGGTTGTAAAGGCACTAAAGGGGTACGTACATTTAATACAAATCTTTGCTAATTAACACAACATCCAAACGTTGTGTTTGAAAGGATCGATTCTTCAAAATCACAACTTTTAAAATTTTAAAGATGGCGCCGGCACGTAAAACGGATAAACTGCAGCCCTAATTATAATGTACCGTATTTTGGTATATTTAAATTACACAATTCCAGGGGTTACGATCGCACAAGGCATGATGAGAAACAACATGGCGCTGCAAGATCGTACCCACGGGGCACTAGGTTGACTTGGGCCAGACTCGAGTAAGCCCGAGAAGTCACGTGAGAGGTAAATCGAACGCTGTCGCGCTTGCACGAGTAAGCGCGGGGGAAGTAATCGAACGCACTGAATGTCTGTTAGTATGTACAATCGTCGGTTTTGAACAGCGCCCCCATCAACAGATGGTACCAGCCCCCCTTCAACTATTTGATTTTACGGAGGCCAAGTGTCCAGAGAAAAAAAAAAGGTGTCGACATTTCTGCACGTATGTGCAAGTGCCCTTTGTCAAGAAATGTTTACCCCCCCCCCAAAAAATAAAATTATTACTCGTCCAAAAATAGCGTTTTCAAGTATCGATGCGCTGCCGATATACAGCTGTGTACACAACGCAGGCGCACATGCTCGCATATAAAGTGGGCGACCTTTTCCTTCCTTTAAAAAAAACCCAAATAATATTTAAGAATTGACCATGTTCTTTTTTTTTTTATTTGACTAAACATAGTTTCTCAAATTTTAAATTTTTTGAAAGGTTTTGTCACATGAGAGCGCGCTTTATAGTCACCTTGAAAACATACAAATAGTCGTATCGAACTAGCTAGTCTTGGCCCAAAACGTCAGTGATTGATAGCAATTGTTGCATTTTGTAGAACATCGATGGTTAAAGATATAGTCCATCATTTGTAATTTGTGCATTTTGTTCGTTTGAAGCAACAAAAGTGTTCAAAATCTAATGAAGGATACTGAACAACTAACCAGATGAAGTTTCAGCTAAGCTTCAGCTGTATATTCCGAGAAAAACAGCTTTCTAGGATCTCAATTTCAAATCAAAAATTACCGAATCATGTTCTGAATTGTTTTGAATTGCAGCTATACGCGACGTCGCGCACTGATCCGACGAATTATAGCAACCGCGCGCGCCTGTGCGTCGGGCCAATGCTTGCGCGCGCTTCGCCGACTACTAATTTAAACGACCTACTAATTTAAATTTTCCTACGGTGCGTCTTAAGACGCACCGTTGGAAAGGCCTTCTTTCGTTGATTACTTCAAAATGACAGCTTCCCAGAAAGAATAATTTCACAGGGAGTTTATTCCACTTACTAATTTTTAACCAAGTATGTTTTTCATCAATAATTACGCCAGTTACTTTTCGGATGGCTGCAAATGATGGACTATAGCTTTAATGGTTGTAGAGCGCCCTCGCACAACTGTTTTGGACTTTTATAGACCTTTCTACGCTTGGTTGGCAAGCTGGTATAATCGTGCCGTTAGATGGCGCACTTCATGAAACGAATACGCCGTTTCGAAGTGTGATGTAATTAAACGCAGGTTTGTCTCCAAAAGTGACCGTTCCACACAGTGTCTCGTCCGGCATTTTTACTGTGCGTTATGAACGGGCGATTTAGGTGAACAGTTGAAATTTCTAGTTGAGGTTTCTCAGACATTAAGAATAAATAAGCCTGGAAATTGGGACAGTGCTTCGAAGCTGACTGTATTCATCACTCAGACCGTCACGGATGCCGTTATTTTTTATTTTCCAACGGATGAAAAAAGTGATAAATAACTGGGCACCTTGCTATTAATCGCCAGGTTTGTGTGGAGCGCATGACCTCGGCAAACGCTTGACATCGGCGGCGTATGACGTGCACGTCTTTAAACCCATTTCAATTCTACGAAAGTTCAATCGTTTAATCGGTCAATAATTGACGTGCCTGGGTGCAAGAGTCTGTTACCAGCGGCGGCGGAACGGGTTTGAAACTGGGGGGCATCACCAAAAAAGGGGCACTTGCAAACCCGTGCTGAAATGTCGACACGTTTTTTCACCGGACACTTGGCCTCCGTAAAATCAAATAGTAGTGGGTGGTGGTGGGGGGTGGGGGTGGGGGGGGGGGGGGGGTGGGGGGCTGGAACCATCATCTTACATAGGGGGCGCTCTTCAAAACCAATGATTGCATGCTCACTATGCATTATGTGCCCATTATCAGGGCGTATTGTATGGGTTTGGGACTTGGTTTACATAATCCTCGTATATATCAAAACTATCTTTACCAATATTGGGAAATGGTTACTTCTAAGAAATAGTAAGATACTTTAAGGGCAATTTTTTTTAATCTCAAGGGGCACTTTTATGCTCGAGGGGGCACATTTATGGCCGCAAAAGGGGCACTTGGACAAATCGGGGAGGGGGGGGGGGCAAATGCCCCCAGCCCCCCCCCCCCACCCCGGTTCCGCCGCCCCTGTCTGTTACTATGACAACCAAGCTTTGCTGGTGAGCCAAAAAAAAATCGAAAGCTTTGAAATATTCATGTTCCTATCTAACGAGTCCTTGGCAGCACAGCGTTTGCAGCTCATAAATGCCGCTGACATTGGTATCATGACTGCAAGCCTTTCGCTAAGGGCGGGTTTCTGCTTCACGTAAAATCGAAGATTATTTAATGACGTCAACAATAATTGACATTTAGTACCCTGGTAATGAGTTCGCTTCGCTTAGCTCTGAAATTTGAGAAGTGTGCTGTTGTCATAGTGCGGAGAGGATTGGTATAAAAGAAGAGCCACGATCGCTTTTAGTACACAGACAGTACGTGAGTTCGGCTTGATCATGACGGCACAGCCCACCGTGAGCGGACGGTGCAGTCTGTTGCTCCTGGCCTGGGCTCTATTGGCCGGGCTCTGGTCTTCGGGCGGCGTCGACGCCATAATGCAACCCTGGTGTAGCGTGATAGATACAGCCTTGGTCGGTTGGAACGTCTCGTCGAGTCCCACCCCGACGCACAAGCGGTGCCACCTGGCCTGCCTGGACACCCCCGGTTGCCAATCGGCCAACTACTGGTACCGGAAAAAAGAGTGTGACTTGAACAGCGTGTCGCACTTGAACGTCTCCAGCCGTCATTTGGTTGAGAAGGCTGGCTCCGTGTATACCTTCACCCAACAGGTCAGTGAGTGGTTTATCTCTGATTTATTTCCATTTATATATTGGGTTTGACGGGGATGCAGATTGATAATGCTGGAAAATATGCAAGTCAATTCCAAAATTTGTTTTTCGAGATTCCTCACTCAAAATGTTGAACACTGTAATAAACAAAACAAAAGAAGCAGGTGCGTAAAACCCTTTTGGGCCGGGAAGTGTTATTTGTCCAGTTCTAGCATGAAATCAACTCAATTATTGGTTACATTGGGTAAAAAAGTACCAACGTTTAGGAAGAATTAATTACCCGGAGTGTAAGCACTTGGTATGTTACATCGCGAAAAATACAAAACCATTTGCCAAACTGTTCTGAAATTATTCTGCCGGAAATGGTATCATTGGGAAGAAAGTACTCAATCATTGAAGGGAGTTTAAGTTTGCTTTTACTTGGGTTAGCAACGGAATCCAGTTACGACACCCCCCAAAAATTGCATATTTTTACTCCGTTTTCTCAAAATTGATAGAATCCACTGAGCTGAAACTTCAACAGGGAGTTGTTATTAAAAATGCAACCTTCTTAAGATTTAGAGCAAGTTTGTTGCTTCAAAAGAAAAAAATAACACAAAGCAAATGTTCCTATTTCCCTTTATAATAACCACTAGACCTACACATTACCACTATACTATAGGGTGGGTGTTCTGTTTGCATTGTTGGGGCATTCAATTTCAATTTTTAGGCACCCAAGATTTTGCTTACAACGTTTGTTTTCGTTTTGAGCCTTATGGGGCATTCGATTTCGTTTTGGTGCATTCAAAATTTAATTTGCAGCTATTCATAAGATGGAATTTTTGCGTCGGGGTGATGTAAATCAAATACGGTTTGCCCTTCACCGACGTGATTAATTTGCAGCATTCTTAAAATTAATTTTTTTGACAGCTTTACTGTTGACGCATTCAAATTAGCGAACGTCGGTGCGCTAATACGTCGGATTTGCTTCAGAGAAAAGACCTCCCAGCTCTATTTTTTTCAAATTTTAATGGAAATAGAATGGATTTAAAGGACAAAATTCTACTTTTTTTTTATCGTTCCCCATTTTTTTCAAAAATTTTACTTCCTCTTGCATAAAAGCGACAATTTGGAATTTTGCTTTTGAATTTACCGCTTAGACTGCTAAATCCAAATTCAGAAACAGTTTGGATAAACGGCTTAGCATCTTTAAATTTTTTCCCCACCCCCAAATTATGAAATGTGTCCCCATCCCCCAAAGAGAAACTTTGTCCAAAATTGTTCTTCAACACGCCATTCTAAATTGAAATTGTTCATCAACGGAAAAAGTCTCGATTTACATAATTCTCCTTTTTTGGCTTATTTCGTCAACTTTGCCAAATGGACGCCTCACCTACAAAAAAAAGGTCAAGGGAAATGGGTATTGAATAATGTACGTCTCTATTTCGCCTAAATAAAACATGGCCCCTTAAACACTCTTCTGGCGGTAAAAACAAAAGTGGTATGAAGAGGATTTGTGTTTCACAGTGCTTCATTAATAATCTCTGATATTTTCAAAAAGATTGTACCCCAAATTGCATACGGGAGACGATTTTTGATCATAAGCTAAGTGACTTTCTCGCTAGTGAGGCGAAGCCCCATTAATTAAAATAGCCCGATGGATTCCACACACCCTCGGGACATCTCTGCAACTATAATCGTTAGCGCACGGCGCAAATGACATTGAATTGTTCAGCCAGCCCTTTCTCTACTTGTCATTCAAGGCTGATTAAAATAATGTAGGCTTACACGATTGTGTCGATTCCACTTCGAAATTGCCTTCCTGTGTACTGACCCGCATTGGATCATGGAAAATCGATACATGGCTGAACTGTCTCGTGTAAATGAATTGCCGGTCGCAATAGTAAAATATTTATTTTACTTCCCTGTGACAGGATGCCGGATGCGACGTTTATTCGGAGTCCAGTTGCCATGGCAATGAACCCAAGACTCATTGTTCAGATGATATACAAGGTAAGTATAAGTAGAGCCTCACACTGGCATTAATATTTCTGGCAAGGAGACAATTTGGAACACGATCCGGTTCATGTTATTATATTGACCAATACCTTTTTGTATTCGCAGACGAATGTAAAATTAGCATTGAAGCCGAGCGCTATGGTATGAATATACCTCATGTATAAGGTGATCACTGTTTATATACCTCACGTCACGCCAGTCGTCCCCACCCTGGCTCCCATAGGAAAGCGCACATGTAAACAAAGCCGAAGCGTGACGTCATTATGTCTTAGGTCAATCAAGGACCGTTTTTTAATCCTCAACAAAATGAGAGCACAGGGTCCCTCGATTTCAGTGGCAAATTGAAATGTGTCAATTGTATCCTTTTGTACAATTTAGAAGTGCATGTCTTTGCATAGAAATTTACAATTTTTATTTGGGTCTTGCGTGTTTCTTGAGTGAAGACTTCATTCATTAAAGGCAGGTAGGAACATTGGTAATTACTGCGAAAACCACCGGCCGATTTACGGGGGAAAGAAACTTGCTCAAAGTGAACAAAGGATTGGTGTCAAATAGCGTGTGAAATTAATCCGCGTGGAATGAATTCGATCGAAAGAAAAGAATCATTGCAGATGGTTTAAAAACAATTCTTTGCCCGATGGGCACACTTTTGGCAACGGAGTTGCTTTTGAAGTCCGAGGGATAATGGGGTCAGGTAGCCAGACTTAATATTTCATAGAAATTCACACTACACCGGCACAATTGCGTTCTGCGCCATATATTTCGAAGCGCGCGCCAACCTCCATATAAGGAATTGTTTTGACGTTAGGACTTAAAGGTTTTGAATGTTTGACCGAAAGGTTTCCACTGGGGTAATTATTAGCATCAAGACTCCAGACATACTGGAATTTGTATCCTTGTGGAATCATTTCTTTTTTTCGATTGGTCTTAAACAGAGTGTGCAAAACCGGCCAAGCACATATTTATTCGCTTATTCCAAAGAATTTTGTATAGTGAAAAGGTCCACTTCATGATAAAAACGACCATCCCCTTCTACCAGGCTCACTGCGGCCCTTAGTAATGTCCTGATGGGCTCATTAGCCAAATAGATCTGATACACTTGACATATTTCACCAAAGCTTTATATTCACTTTACTCATAGCCTAATTCACTCATAAGCCGTTCAACATTACATCCACCAGAATATTACATTACATCCACCTGAATAATTAGTGTTTTTGATTCACAAAGGCCCCTACTAAGTCAAGCGGAACGGTGTGCTTTTATGGCTTATACACTCACATTGTGGTCGCCAAAACAATGCCAATAACATGTTCCCCTTCGGTATTTCAAAATAATCGTCATTTGGTTCACCTATAACGGAGCTATATTCTGCGAATATACCACCTGTTAACGTCTAAGCTTTGTGTACATCTTTGACGAGTCAATTTATAATAAACCGCTACCATTAATATTGATGCAGTAAGGAAGGAAACGCAAGTGAAGGCAGCCAACGGGCAATACAATTGATGCTAGGCTGGCATTTCCAGTGATAATAAACATTATTTTCAGTGAAAGTGGTTTGGGATGGCATGCGGTGAAGCAAGTGTATTGAAATTAATTAATCGTCGGGGTTATGTTCATTTTTTCTGTTGTTTGCTCCTGCAATACCATTTACATGATATACAATATACTATACTACTGCCTGCCATGCATATACCCCGATTTTCCTTTCAAAAACGTTCATCGATTATTTTTTTTAATGAAATGTTAATTTTGTTTGAAGACCGAATGACAGGTGGCTGTTTCGATTGTTCAAATACTCTTTCTCCCACTTAGTTTGTATATGGATGTGGTGTTGAGAACGAATGCACATGGTATTTCTTATCGGTATTAATTATAGAAATCTCTTCGTGTTTGTTCGTTCTCTCTTTGACTTTTTGTTTGTTTCTTTTTTGTCGATAAGGTATGGAGACCCGCCACTGCCAAAAACCAAGCACTCCTGAACTAATGTCAGTTTACTGCGTAGTTTAATAATTCACAGACGTTCCATCACTCGTGCTCTTCAACCAAGGACATTAATCCGGGGGAGGGGTGTTTATATCCCCCACACTTTTTGACCAGGGGATGGGCCATGGTATCATTTCCCCCCATTTCCCCAGCTGCGGATAGCAGCTCGATCGGGGACCCCTAGGGGAGTCAGGTTGGCGTCCCTTCCACCGCTGTGACCAGGGTTCGAATCCCACCTGGGCCAACATGTGTATTTCATGATTCCATGGGTTTTCGGCCGTGAATATTCTTCTGGGGTTTTCCTCCCACCTCTAAAATGGTAATTTCTTCTCATTGTCTCCTATCTACCGGATTCCTCAGGCTTGCGAGCTACAGTGCCAAGAGCGCTTTTGAGGAATCCTTGGTTTCATTCCCAGAAATACTTAATAATAATCGTGTTTGCATAGCGGATAAGAAATTGTATCATAAAAAGCGTCCCCTAGTCTCATCTGGTGTTCAGCATCAAGCCACCAGCCCCCTCCCTTGCTTTCGAATTTCCACGACCGGGCAATTTTGGTCATCCCCACCCCCCTCTCCCTCCTCCCCCCCCCCAACCCCCCCCCCCCCCCCCCCACATCACACATAAGTGTGTATGTGCCTGCAATTGGGGACCCCCAATTGTCCCTCTTTTGTTTGTACTTTTTAGGAAGACATCCCATATGTTTTGTACACGAATCCAAATTGGGGACCTCTCGGGAACTGGGGACCCTATTGTCCTCTATTGTTCAACGTCCCATATGGAATGCAAAAACAAACCCACTAGCATGTGTGCGCACACAGATTAACGCCACTGTCTTCAATAAATTCAGTTTTGTTTCTCTTAATAAAATGTTCAACTTGTGTATATTTTTATTCCAACCCCAACACCTTTTTTTTTTGGGGGGGGGGGGTATTTGCAAACCTGGGAAAAAATAGGCTTTTTAATTTTGGCATTAAAATGAGTCGCCGCATAAGAAGCAGACTGGTTCCCGGTCCGTACACTATCGATACTGATTGTGGTGCGGGAACCAGCCTACCCGCAGCACGGAACTATTGTCGGGCCGCAAGTTATTCGAAATTTGTAAAGTCATAAACATGGGCGGACTTTGTTTTCGGTTGATGTCTCATTCGATTATGAATAACGTTTGTTTTGAAAGAAACAGAGCAATTTAAAAAAGTAATCTGTTTTTCGGGATCTTTTTTTCCCCTGAATAATCCGTGATTCGTATTACTGTCATAAAAGTGTGTCGAGGTGTGGTTTCATCAGGTAGAAACGAAAAGGGGAAAATACTCTCTTACTTATTATACAGACCCAGCGTGGCGACTGGTGTTCAAAGGCGTGGCAGGAACTGGAGTCGACCTGTATGACATGTGGACCACAATGGACTGGAACTCGAGTTATGAGGCGAGTTGCCATCGCCGTAATAATTCCCTCTACCGAGCCTGGCGCAATGGACAGCTGAATATCCGAAGGGTAAGTAGGCCTGCTATCAATACATGGAAACTAGTTATTCATTATTTTCTCCCCTATAAGATCACCTTTTTTCTGATTCAGTCCTCGGTCGACTTCTACCCTTTTAATGTTTGTGTTTTAATAGAATTTGTCACTTATTGTTAGTTTATAGTGTTTAGGTTAGAAATTTTCAGGTGACATTCGTGCGTCCATTCATTGAAGCAGTGATTTTTGATAATTGTTCGCCATAAAAAGCATTGATGTGCCGACTTTATTCAGTACTTACTCAACTGTTTAATTTAAAGAGAGTTAATCAATTATTTGGTCGGCTACTGCTTAGCTGGTCATTTTGTGGGTTACCTAAAACTAAGTACATTGCATAAAAATCGAAAATACTTATTATTTATAGTTAATTGTCAAGTGTTGATAGGTCGAAGATGCTCAAATCATTTTTTTGCTGTGCACGGCTTTCGCTTTTGAAAACTTTTAATATCGTTCAATGTGTGTTGTTTCAAAATAAGAGAAGAAAGAGAGAAAACTAAATTGAATCGACCGCTGTGGGTAGTGCGTGACACAAACAGAAATATGACGCGACACAAGCGCTATAGGGCAATAACTATATTTGTTATACCTTTGTCTTGAATAATGTATTTTCATTGGCCTAGAACGATAACGTGTTAAGTTTTTAAAAGATGCAGTGTGATATGACTTTGTAGGTGTAGTACATACGGTGTGAAACGCTTCTATCGTTGGTACCCACACTATTTTCCCATGTTTTCACGCATAAGTGGGGGCAGCGAACCTAGCAGACGATCGGCTGTTTCGAGCACGCGACATGCATGTGAGTTGGTGTTCGACTGTCACGTTTGTTGTGTTTACTGCTGTTGTTTTCGTGATTTTTTACATCAAAAATAAATCCAAAGAATCCAAGACATAGGTGTAACAAAACAATTGTTGACTACTGTGATGTGGGATATGTCGTTAACGTGTTGATAAATAAACGAATAGCACATATACATTGCAATTAAAAACATTGACACATTATTACCCTCTCTTTTTCTGCTAAGGTAAAGCTTTCACTGTATAACAGCTCGGGGGTGAGAGCCGAGTTGATCTTCAATGGAACCGGCTCGGACATCAAGAGTTGGTTCACACAGACACGCCTGATTTCATCTCCCTGGGATGATCTCAAATCGGCTCAGTTAACTGGAGGTAGTGGTCAGTTCTTCAGTGTCGACGGTGATGTTAATAAGTAAGTGTAGACTGCTGTTGTTTGTTGGTTGTTCTTGTTTGTATGTTGTTAGTTGTATGTTGCACCTTGTGTGATGTTCGTAGTGTGGCAGCCGATTTTGTTTTTGATTTTTTACGTGATCATCGACAATTTCGAATAACTGTTGACGGTTTTTTAGCTTGTGTATTTTTATTTTAACGAAAAAGGCTACTTTGTTTCTATGTTTAGCAGTCTTCTGAAGGAAGGCTTCCTTTTGGTTGCTCCGTCCTAGGAGTAGACTGGTTCCAGCCCAATATTTTCGCTTTTAATAGGGGCGTGAACCAATCTACCCAGCCACAACTGTATTACTGTCAATCCGCAAATATTTCGAATTTTGTGGTGAACGTGGTCAGACTTTTGTCGTTCAAAAGTTAATAAACTGTGGTACAGGAAGACTAAAAAAAAATACAATGTTTATATTTTTCGGGGCGAAACTTTAAAATTGCACGGACAGTTCATCTTTATCTTAAGCGTTGGAGTGATGACTATGGTTAGGAATAGTTAGACTAACTTGGAACCGGAGCATGGGCACTGTTGCCTCACTGAAAATACCAATACCTGCACTGAAAAATTGCCTGGGTTAATTGTACCCAAATAAGGGTAAAAACTGCAACTACCCAAAATTGAGTTGTCCTTTACCCAATTGTTTGGGTTAGAATTTCTCTTAAATTCAACCAAAACTTGTGGTTATACAAGACTATGTTAAATTTTGTCTGGTATGACCACAAATTCGCATGAATTGAAGAGAAATTCTTACCCAAACAATTGGGTAAAGGACAACCCAATTCCGGCTAGTTGCAGTTTTCACTCTTACTTGGGTAAAATTAACCCAGGCAATTTTTTAGTGTGCGCGCACCATAATTACCGCAGGCAGCAAGCATTCAAGACATTTGACTGAAGGCGTTTACACGTTGCTGTTAGTGTGCAGGCGTAAGCTACGTCACGAATCAACCTATTACACCTTATGGTGTAAATCAAGCATTTTCTTTTGTTCCTCTTCCCTTTTCCTTTGTTTGTACTTTCACTTTTTCGCAACAGCTCTCATTGGTTTTGTACACGTTTTCTAATCGAGGTCGTCCTCGATTTGGTTCCTGTCCTCAATTCACCGATGATGTTGCATGTATGTGTCCTCGATTTACACCATAAACAAACACTCACACACCCCGACACACACCGATTGATGTTGAGGAGGCAAAGTGTCTGGACAAACAAACCTCTCTACATTTCAGCATTGATTTGCTGATGATCCCCCCCCCCGCAAAAATTCCTGGATCCGCCCCTGATTGAAATCTTTATGGTTTTGTTTATCTCTCGCGATTGGCATATAACAAAGCCTGGATCGGCGGTTTTTCATCAACAACTACTATGCTAACTGTGATATGGATAAAGGCTGGCTGGTTGTGGCCGACTCTGACGCGACAAGCAAGTGTTCATGGGAGACAGGGACGGCAGCATATCCCTACCCAATCATACTCTACAGCACAACCAACCAGACGGTGACGTGGAACGATGTGCTTTCGAACGGTAAGAAAAGTTTTTTCGCGTGACCTTATACACACCTGTGTACTTATTAACCCAAGTTCTTTCCACTGACTGTCCCAATATTGCCAAGTATGATATATGTCTGGATCTTTTATAACTAGTCGTCATGCTCATTCAAAGGTATATTCAGAATGGTCGAAACCTCCTTGCTACCACGGTGTCAGATTTAACGTTTGGTATACCGTCAGGTATATCTAGGTTGTGTAAACTTTAGGTTTACTCCGATCTTAACGATAACCAAGTTAACGATCATTACATAACAATATATGCATGTACGTCGAAACCCAGCATATTATAACATTAAAACACATAACAAACACCACAGCCTGTCTAGCGACTTGTCCGCAAGTCTACTTAAATCTTTTGAAGGCTCGTTTCTTTATTAAACCAGATTAAAATTCAAACAATACATTATTTGGTCGGTTTGTCATTAATACCAAGCATGCAATGCGGATGTCATAAAAGGGGATTTTTGTCAGCTGCAGACAGACAACATTTTCAGAAATTACATCAATCTCTAAACGACCTCCCCATTCTTGTTTTATTTTAAGAAATATTTCCGCATATGTTAAACCTTCTAAGTGGTTTGAAAGCATATTAAATTTGAGGCGTCACCCTATACACAAAATGGCAAAAACCACGGATACAAATGAAAGCCTGAAGACATTAGAGCTGTTGAAGAAGATGAGAGGATGTAGAGCAGGTCGACAGGCGTTTAGGCATATCCCTGTTACTATCAATATAAGAGGCCGACATCGTATGGAGACATCTGCTACGACATACCACGAGACTTTTATTAGATATTCTAAAAGGACCCCTCGTCACCTTGTTCCTGTTCCAAGCACTTGTCCTGTTATCCACACCAACATCGCTCCGCTACTTCGAATTCTACTGACCAATGCAAGATCTTTGAATAACAAGCTGAAAGATCTGCAGCTTGTTCTCAGTTAGAACTCAGTCGATGTAGCTGCCGTTACAGAAACCTGGTTGAATGACATTACCATACAATCTGCTGACATCCCTGGATTTCATTGTTCGTCCAAGTGCCGAGATGGAAGACGAGGAGGAGGTGTAGCTGTCTACACCAAGGCGAGTTTCAATGTGCAGACACTATCCAACCATTCATGTGAGTTTGAATGTTTGTGGCTCAAACTTAATCGCAATCAGTCAACATCTAATTTCTACATTGGAGTGATTTACTATCCTCCAGGATCTACATATGCCAATGAAATGCTTTAGCACATTTTTCAAACTGTGGACGATATCCAATCAATTGATGCAACTGCCACAATCATTCTACTAGGAGACTTTAATGATCTCCAAACTAACACCATTGAGAGCAATTTACATATGGAACAGGTGATCAATTTTCCTACTCGGCACAATGCAATACTGGATAAGATTTTTACCTACCACCCCACGTTTTTTACTGAACCCAAACGACTATCACCAATTGGACGTAGTGACCACTGCTGTATTCTCATCAATCCAGTGACTGAATATCCACCGGTGAAGCCTACTTCCACCTACAGGCGCCTCTACCGAGACTCTACAGTACGGTCATTCGGGCAATGGGTGACTGGCTGTAACTGGGACAGCATTACTTCAAACCAGTCAGCTGATGCCATGCTCAGGGATTTTTCATCTACCATCAATGACGCCTATGAGGAACGTTTTCCCGAAGTCCGTTCAGTATTGTGATTCAAGGACAATCCATGGATGACTATACAAATTAAACGACTTATCAGAAACCGCCAGGAAGCTTTTACTCGGGGTGATCAGAGGGAATGGTGTATGCTGCGCAACAAAGTGAATCAACTCATAATCAAAGCCAAAAGAAAGTTCTACGCAGACTCTGTGTACAACCTCAGGAACAGTCAGCCAGCTAAATGGCACAAACACATACAGAGGATGTGTCATCTTAAATCCAAACCATCTACTATCCTCGGAGCTACATTGAATCCTAGAGGAACAGTTGAAGCTATTAACAATCAATTTGCCGAAATATGCAATCAGCTACCAGCTTTAGCGCTTGAAAGTCTTCCTGCATACCTGCCAGCAGAAACACCACCTCCAGTAATTTATCAAGGGCAGGTTCTGAAAGCACTTCAAAAACTGAAATCCTCTAAGGCTGGTCATCCTTCGGACTTACCTATCACACTGATAAAAGAATTTGCTCCCGAATTTGCCTTTCCACTTACATGTGTATTCAATTCTTGCTTGAGGGAGGGTAATTTCCCTGAATTGTGGAAGACTGCCACTATCATACCAGTTCCTAAAACTAAACATGTTTTGTCTTTTGATCAACTGAGGCCCATTTCCTTGACAACGGTGTTAGCTCGAATTTTTGAATCTTTTATTGCCAAATGCATTATTAATGATATTTTATTATTAATGATCCAGTTCCCACGTCTCAATTCGCCAATCAATTAAACGATACTATTGACATTACGTTTTATGGTTATGGTTTTCTTGGTCAAACCATCCCGCATCTGTAAGTTTGAGGTTTAGACTAAATTTTACACTAGACTTGGGGACAAGTCACACTGTAGACAGTCGTGTTTTGTCGTTCGGCGCTACCAATAACTACTATCAATGCAATATGTCCATATCGCGGCGGCGGGCGAACAACACCCGGCCAATAATGCCGACTTGAAATCAAGTCTACATTCACACACACACCAACAGTCATCGATTTTCGCGCCGGGGTGAACAAATTAAATTCGGCCGTCGGAAACGAGGAGAATTTTAATGAAGTCACTCTGTACATTATATTTTATTGCACCTTGGTTCATCAAACCATTTTGGTTCGTCGAATTTACTCAAGTTTAATCAGTCGGGATGAAAACAAACATGTGCATTTGTAGGTATTCACACACCAACAGAATTCAGTGCTTGGGTCTGACTAAGAACTGGAAGAGTCCACATTTCAATTTATATTTTAAAGTGAAGACGCAATGCTGAAGCTATCTGCTTTATTTTTATTCTTACCTCCCCACAGCTACAGCCGTTGGAAGGGCAGATATCCTTACCATCCACATCGATACTGAGTGAGGGTGGATCTACAACTTTGGCGTATCAAGAGGGGGAAGGGCAGCTCATAGCTCCGTTTTCTCTCCGGTGATAACTTTTAGATTTAAATTAACGGGCATCAATCGCTCGTATGAACGGTTTTTCCTTTTCATATTATGTTCCCGGGCGTAATTCTTCAGCCACGCATGCGCGGATCTGAACTCTATTGGAGTTGGCTTACTGAAAGAGAGCAACTTTAACATTTCGCGCCATTTTAGTTCATCTAAAAATCATTTTGCTTCTAACCATGTATTTCGAGACAAATCCTTTGTATTTATTTGGACATGTCGCTATCTTTGGCAATATAATATATATAACAATATTTTTTGTTGGGGAGGGGGGGAGCGCCAACTGACTTATGATTATATCTTTGGAAATTGTTCAAACAGCTATATATACAAAATGTTTACATACACACATTTACATGTACACCCACAAACATTAGACCTTTGTGGATAAAAAAATCTCATTTTCCACGCTCACGAAAACAACTTTACTGTTGTATTGACGATTTGTTGAGAGTGGAAGGTTAACATCTATATAGGCTGATTAGAAGTTGAGAAGGGTATCGTGAAAGTTTGTTAAAATTCTTGAGGTACTGGTAGATTATTTTGGGTGGGGAGGGACAATGTGATAGGCGTCTCACTACCACATTTCAACTTGCCGTCAGGATTTTTATGCCTGATAAAAGATTCACTATAGCAAATAAGCAATGTATATATCGCAATAATGTTATAGTGTAAAAATAAAATACATTTATTCAATCAAACAAGGTATAATTACTAAATTATTATAAAATAGCCTACAGTTTATATGTAAATGACAGTATCAATTACCATTATTATAAAATAGCCTACAAACTATATGTAAATGACAGTATCAATTAAGCTTTTTGTGAAATTGTTGAGCATACTATGCTGTTCTTTTTTAGAAAATTTGAATTTTGTATCAAATCTCACGATGGTTTCGACCGTACCGATGTAGCTGTGAATGCAGCGTTTCTTTTCAACTACATCCGTTAACGGGCGCAAGCCAGCTATTGACATCGTGCTTATGCTCAGTTACGCAGAAACGTGCATCTAATATTTTTCCCACGACACAACCGGCACGCAGGGACGCCCTGTACCTGTAAATCTTAAACAGGATAACTTAACGAACTGCACTTGGACGGTTGAAAACAAAGATCACTTTTTCTCCTTTTTTTCTTCTTCTGGCACCGAGTGACCAAAAAAACATGAAAAGATATCTGCTTGAAATAACTAACACCCGATTCAGTCCATTTCTTACAATTTCGACAAATGCAACATATTATGTGTTTAGCTATACATATATATGTTTTTATAATATTTAAGCATGATGACTATAAAATTACATAGTACAGTTGTTTCAGTCAATGCAGTTTGGGTTCAATATATTGCTATCAAGAAATTAGCATTATTATGGAGTTGAGCTAGAGTAAAAATCATGTATATGCACCCATCATATCAACATGAATAAGTATAAACATTTGAATGTTGTGCTTTCTACATGTTAATACAGCTTTGGACTTTTTAAGCAGTGTATACGAAGTGAACAATGTCGAAATGACTCAAAGTCTGGTGGTCTAATGCAGTAGTCTAGGCCTACTGAAATGATTCATTCGATTCGGTTTTTACCACTACCATCTATTCTCGGCTGGGTTTTCACCGCCATCGAACAAACGAGCTAAATATTCAACACAAAATACACAGTTTCAATCCCGACGCTGCGACCAATGTAACGTTCACCGAGCGGTCTGGGGTCGAAAAGATAGTCGGGTTCTTTGAGGATTATGAACTTGGTCTTTGGTTGAAATGCAGTATACTCTAATAAAAAAAACTCCACACACGAGCTCTGTGTTTTCCACTGTTTTATTCTGTAACGTTCATCAATGAGATAATCCGCAAACAATTAACGTTTACTCACTTCAAGAAGATCCCGGTTACACCCTGTTATTCGCAGTACCAACGCAGCTTTTGCAGCTTTCCCACAGTACTCCAAAACGTGTCTGCCCCAAAAGCATTCCTCGGCATCCCGCCAAAAATGTAACAACTTGTCAAAAGGCGCGCGTTTATCGTTCGCCTAATTAACATAACCAAAAACATTGCGGGCGCTGCGCTAGCTCCAGTGCTGCGCTCGATTCCATTACTAAGGGAATAACAGTGTGAGGAGCCGGTCTTCACTGCGTGATAATGACCGGGTGTGGGGGTGACCGCTGTTAATTGACCGAGACGAAGTCGAGGTCCATTAACAGCGGTCACCCCCAGCGGTCACCCTCGAACGCATCTGCAAGCGGTCTATACTGCTGTACGCGCCGTGTACGATGTCGTACGTTTGAAAACTTCCTTACGCGCGCGCACCCATAGTAACTGTTTTGCGACGCGCGCGTAAGTCTTCACGCGATGGTGGTTGAGCGCATGTGCAGTGCTGTATTGTTACAAGCTGCCGTACGACTGTTGTAAATTTGGCCAATTATAGGCTTGCATGGGGCTGGATCAATGCTGGTTCAGGGGCCATTTATTCGCTTGTTCTTTTGAAGCCGGTCTTTATATCACCGTTAATACACCCCCACGTGATCAAGTCTCGACCAATCAGAAGCCATCAACTCTCCAAGGTATTTATTAATGCCCGTTATCACGCGTCTAACCAATTAAGGCAAGTCCACTGAGTGCATTTTGTACTAGAGCTCAGAACAGTCGTTTATCCTGCACCCGATTTCACGAAGCGCTGCGACGCGTCGCAACTGGAGTTACGACGTGACACGTCGCAACTCGCGACGCGTCGTATCTTCCATTTCACGAAAGTTGCGATGTGTTGAACGCGTCGTAAGTTCCTTGACAACGGCTTAATACACGTCGCAAGTTAAGACGTGTCTTGTGGTCGTCGCAAAATAAGAAGAGTCATTTCTAAGCCAGTTTTATGCCATAAACATTACATTAACGAGTACCGAGTACCGAGGCAATGTGTGTAAAGTTGTAAATAGAAAATTCATTGAATAATTATGAATTAGACCGGAATATTAGAATTGAAATTAGAAAGTAGCTATAGTCCAATGAGAGTTTGTTTTCCTTCAAAATTGCATCGCACGGCCTCCATTTTGTTTTACGTTTTAACAAATTTCGAGTTGAGATCCGACGACTCTTTGATGAATATCAGACGACTATTTACTGTACGCTGACTTATTACATAAAACAGTCACCGAGTTGTGTTATAAATACACCTACGACGCGTCGCACTTACGACGTGTTTTGTGAAATGAATCGCAGGACGCGTCGCAGCTGCGACGCATCGTAGAGATACGACGCGTGGCATCGCTGCGATGCATCGTAAAAGTTACGAAGAGTTTGATGAAATCGGGTGATATCCGTGTGCAAAGCACGCGAGTGCATTATGGGCGCGCCCAACGTGCACTCTTCGAAATGCCCGCGCAGTACGCTCTGAATAGCAAGTCAGCTTCATTTACGTGTACATCACGACCAGGGGTTAGTGAAGGAACGCGCACGCGCCCATGGAGTCGAGGCTGACAGTGTACGTACTACGTATGCGCTATGCGCACATTTAGATACAGACCGAGCGCAACCCAGACTTGGCCAAGTCTACATGAGAGCGCGCTTCATAATCGCCTTGAAAACATAAAAATAGTCGTATCGAGCTAGCTAGTCTTGGCCCAAGACGTCAGTGATCGATAGCGATTGTTGCATTTTGTAGAACATCGATTGTTATTCGTTGTAGAGCGCCCTCGCACAGCTGTTTTGGACTTTAATTACGAGCAGGCAAGCTGATATAATCGTGCCGTTAGATGGCGCACTACGTGAAAAGAATACGCCTTCTCGAAGTGTGATGTAACGCGGGGTTGTCTCCAAAAGTGACCGTTCCACACAGTGTCTCGTCCGCCATTTTTACCTTGCGTTATGAACGGGCAATTAAGGTGAACATTTTCTAGTTGAGATTTCTCAGACATTAAGAATAAATAAGCCTGGAAATCGGGACAGTGCTTCGAAGCTGTCTGTATTCATCACTCAGACCGTCACGGATGCCGTTATTTATATTTTCCAACGGATAAAAAAAACTGGGCACCTTGCTATCAATCGCCAGGTTTGTCCGGGGTGCATGACCTCGGCAACGCTTGACATCGGCGGCATATGACGTAAACAATGGCTTAGCCTTTTTGCCAAGACTACGAGCTAGCTATCACGTGCACGTAAAATTAAAGGTGTATTACGGCCTGAAATCCCCGAAAATGTTATGTTTTGGATGGTTTACTTATACTATTTTAAAGGTCTCATTAAAAGAAAACTAACCTAATATCTTACCGTTCCCGAGAAAAGATCTAGACAAAAAAAACCGGTTGTCAACATCGAACACGACGGAGTACGCATACGTTTTTCCTGTCGTTTCCATTAAATGTACGATACACGTTGTGTGCCAGCACCAATACACAAATGTTGTTTCTGACACGTCCGAAGAAGGCTACCACTTTGCGGCTGGAATCACAACTAGCACTTAGCTCAATTTTTCGGGACAAAATTGTGACCCCCGAAATAACACAAATCGCCCAATTTTAAAAGAATGGTTGCATACAATTATATTCAACTTTTTAAATGCACTTTCCATTAAATATCATTTCGTTTAAACCGCCTTTTGTATCGCAATTTGGCGTATTCCAGGCCGTAATATCCCTTTAAGATGATATTTTTTTGTCATTGGACTCAACGAAAAAACGGAATACGACGTAAAAACGGAATAGGCCATCACGGATCACGGTGCGATGCACCATTCGAATGTTCGATCATGATGATAGTATCCAAGATCGTCCGTGATGAACAGCGCCCCCAACAGTCAGAGGATATCAACCTCCCCTTTTGATTTTGAGGCGGCTGGGTGACCGGAATAAAATACCCGGTGGCCTTTCAGCCAAATTTCGACTGATGCCACAGGTGAAAACTCTTTAAGGGTCTGTTTTATGGTGCTACCAGATAATTATGTTTGCCAAATCAGCTAGCAATCCAAATCAGCTGGCAATCCAAACAGAATGGCTGTTAAGCATAAAAACACTTTTCAAAATCAAAATCTGATCCAGCTTTAGCAAATAATCCCCTCCCCAGTTTCTTGGCGTGATTTTCTTACCATTTTTTTTGTAGTGCATTGCACTGCTGAATGGGAACCCTGCACTACAGTTTCAAAATGATTGGGGGTATGCAATGCTCACCTTGGCCATCCCATCCCACCCAATGAGGCTTAGGGCAAAGCCATCTTAGCATGCGGTCCCGAGGTTTTACTTTCAATCCGTCTTGAGTAAAACTCCCTATACAGGGTGCAGGTGCGGGTCCGGGAGGGGGGGGGGGGGTCAAACCTCCTCCCCAGCTCTGTCAAAAAAAAAATCCATAGAAATTCCTAAAGAATAATGCGAAACCCCCCCCTGCCCCGACCCCCCCCCCCCCCAGGAAAAAAATCTACTGGTATAATGTCCGCCTGTTCAAAATACGGACAGAGGCAGCTTAGATAGGGGGTATTGTATACACCCTTCTGTAATGTAGTGTTAATAATCGTCGAATTTGAACAGCACCCCCTATTGAAATATGGTAATACCCCCCCCCCCCCCCCCCCCCCCCCCCCCCCCCCCCAGTATTTGATTTTACGGAGGCCAAGTGTCCGGAGAATAAACCCTGTCTACATTTTCAGAGATAGAGGGTGGGGTTTCCACTTGTTTGCCCATGACATGGGTCTTCTGTGATGGAGGACCTTGACATGGACCCTACACAAGAGGAGCTCAGCAAAGCCATTGACAATTGGAGAGAATCGAAAGAAAAGTGTTTTGGTAGTCAAGCTCTCAGAAATAAATAACCATCCTCCATATTATAATTGACGTGCCTGGGCGCAAGAGTCTGTTACTATGACAACCAAGCACTGCTGGTGAGCAAGAAAAAACATCGAAAGCTTTGAAATGTTCATGTTGCTATCTAACGAGTCCTTGGCAGCACAGCGTTTGCAGCTCATAAATGCCGCTGACATTGGTATCATGACTGCAAGCCTTTCGCTAAGGGCGGGTTTCTGCTTCACGTAAAATCGAAGCTAATTTAATGACGTCAACAATAATTGACATTTAGTACCCTGGTAATGAGTTTGCTTCGCTTAGCTCTGAAATTTGAGAAGTGTGCTGTTGTCATAGTGCGGAGAGGATTGGTATAAAAGAAGAGCCGCGATCGCTTTTAGTACACAGACAGTACGTGAGCTCGGCTTGATCATGACGGCACAGCCCACCGTTAGCGGACGGTGCAGCCTGTTGCTCCTGGCCTGGGCTCTATTGGCCGGGCTCTGGGCTTCGGGCGGCGTCGACGCCCTAATGCAACCCTGGTGTAGCGTGATAGATAGAGCCTTGGTCGGTTGGAACGTCTCGTCGAGTCCAACCCCGACGCACAAACTATGCCACCTGGCCTGCCTGGACGCCCCCGGTTGCCAATCGGCCAACTACTGGTACCGGAAAAAAGAGTGCGACTTGAACAGCGTGTCGCACTGGAACGTCTCCGGCCGTCATTTGGTCGAGAAGGCTGGCTCCGTGTATACCTTCACCCAACAGGTCAGTGAGTGGTTTATTTCTGATTTATTTCCATTTATATGTTGGGTTTGACTGGGATGCAGATTGATAATGCTGGAAAATATGCAAGTCAATTCCAAAATTTGTTTTTCGAGATTCCTCACTCAAAATGTTGAACACTGTTAAAAAGAAAACAAACAAAAAAGCAGGTGGGTAAAACACTGTTGGGCCGGGAGGTGTTATTTGTCCAGTTCTAGCATGAAATCAACTCAATTATTGGTTACATCAGGTAAAAAAAAGTACCAACGTTTAGGAAGAATTAATTACCCAGACTGTAAGTACTTAGTATGTTACATCGCGAAAAATACAAAACCATTTGCAAAACTGTTTTACAGTTATTTGAACTCCGTGTCAGAAACATAAGATGATATTTCAGAAGAAAATCCTTGACTAGTACCCTGCGAAATTATTCCGCGGGAAATGGTATCATTGGGAAGAAAGTACTCAATCATTGAAGGGAGTTTAAGTTTTTACGTGGGTTAGCAACGGAATCCAGTTACGACACCCCAAACAAATTTGCATATATGTTCTCCGTTTTCTCAAAATTGATAGTATCCACTGAGCTGAAACTTCAACAAGGGAGTTGTTATTAAAAATGCAACCTTCTTAAGATTTTGAGCAAGTTTGTTGCTTCAAAAGAAAAAAATCACACAAAGCAAATGTTCCTCTTTCCCTTTATAATAACCACTAGGCCTACACACTACCACTATAGGGCGGGTGTTCTTTTTGCATTGTTGGGGCATTCAGTTTCATTTTGCTCATAACGTTTGTTTTCATTTTGGGGCATTCTATTTTGTTTTGGTGCATTCAAGACTTAATTTGCAGCTATTCATAAGATGGAATTTTTGCCGTTCACCGACGTGATTAATTTGCAGCATTCTTAAAATTAAGTTTTGACAGCTTTACTGTTGACGCATTCAAATTACCGAACGTCGGTGCGCTAATACGTCGGATTTGCTTCAGAGAATAGGTCTCCCAGCTCTATTTTTTTCTAATTTTAATGAAAATAGAATGGATTTTAAGGACAAAATTCAACTTTTTTATCGTTCCCCATTTCTTAAAAAAAATTGTACTTCCTCTTGCATAAAAGCGACATTTTAGAATTTTGCTTTTGAATTTACCGCTTAGACTGCCAAACCGAAATTCAGAAAGAAATTGACAACAGTTTGGATAAACGGCGTAGCATCTTTTTAATTCTTTTTCCCCACCCCCAAATTATGAAATGTGTCCCCATCCCCCAAAGAGAAATTTTGTCCAAAATTGTGTTTCTACATGCAATTCTAAATTGAAATTGTTCATCAACGGGAAAGGTCTCGATTTGCATAATTCTCCTTTTTGGCTTACTCCGTCAACTTTGCCAAATGGACGCCCCACCTGCAAAAAAAAAAGGTCAAGGGAAATGGGTATTCAATAATGTACGTCTCTATTTCGCCTAAATAAAACATGGCCCCTTAAACACTCTTCTGGCGGTAAAAAAAGATGGTATGAAGAGGATTTGTGTTTTACAGTGTGTCCTTAATAATCCCTGAAATTTTCAAAAAGATTGTACCCCAAATTGCATATGGGAGACGATTTTTGTCCATAAGCTAAGCGACTATCTCGCTAGTGAGGCGAGGCCCCATTAATTAAAATAGCCCGATGGATTCCACACACCCTCGGGACATCACTGCAACTATAATCGTTAGCGCACGGCGCAAATGACATTGAACTGTTCAGCCAGCCCTTTCTCTAGTTGTCGTTCAAGGCTGATTAAAATAATGTAGGCTTACACGATAATGTCGATTCCACTTCGATATTGCCTACCTGTTTACTGACCCGCATCGGATCATTGTTCATGGCTGAACTGTCTCGTGTAAATGAATTGCCGGTCGCAATATTAAAATATTCATTTTACTTCCCTGTGTCAGGATGCCGGATGCGACGTTTATTCAGAGTCCAGTTGCCATGGCAATGAACCCAAGACTCATTGTTCAGATGATATACAAGGTAAGTATAAATAGAGCCACAGACTCGCATTCTCGCAAGGATCCGGTTCGTGTTATCCTATAGGCCAGTATTCACAATTATAAATGTTTAGGGTGTACAGACGAATTTCAAATTAGCATTGAAACCGAGTGCTAAGCACTGATCTCTATATAAAGACTGGATAGCGGATATGCATACAACATTCACACAGTAGACTTTGCATATTGACCAATTCGCCCCCGGTCTCACGAAGATGGCCGCGTATATACGAACGTTCTACGCGTAAATACGCGCGCGTTGTATCAACAGTTGACGCGCATTTTGGTCACGTACACATATTATGATGTTCTAAAAAGGACACATTTCCGTAGTAATTATTATTTCAAAAACGCCGAAAAAGTGATTTGCAGCATTATAAAGTAACCACGACGTTAGAAAAATTGTAGTAAACCTTGGTCAGTTGGTCAGTGGTGGTGGCCAAAATATAAGTCAAGTGAACCGCGACGTTACAAAAGAAATCATGCTGTCTATAAAGACGGCAACTTGTCCTTTGTAGATCACCAGCCGGTCTCACCAATATGGCGTCAAATTCGTACATTGTGCGGGTCTTTATTAGCTATCCAGTCTTTATATAGAGATCAGTGGTGCTAAGCCATTGCACGAATACCTAAGACGTTACGCTTTGTTTACAATGTACACTTTCCTATGGGAGCCAGGTGGGAACGCCAGCCAATCAGTGTTGTAGTAATCGTACTCGGTACTCGTACTCGAGTACTACTCGAGTACTTATTTTTGAGTACTCGTACTCGTACTCGAATGTCAAAGTACTCGTACTCGAAATGACGGTACTCGTACTCCGGCAGCAAAGTACTCGTACTCAAATAGCAGTACTCGGGGGAAAAATGTTATAGCTTCACTTACCATGGCCTTATTTTATCGATACTTTAAGTACTCGTACTCGTACTCGTACTCGGAAGTACAGGTACTCGTACTCGGAGACCCGTTCTTGTACTCGGAGGTACAAGTACTCGTACCTAAGTACTCGGCAGTACTCGGTACTCGGAAAAAAGTACTCGACTACAACACTGCAGCCAATCATCCCCACCTGGCTCTTATAGGAAAGAGTACATGTATAAAGGCGTGACGTCATTATGTCTTAGGTCTATTAAAGACCCTTTCTTTTTTAATCCTCAACAAAGAGAGAACACTGGGCCCCTTGGTTTCAGTGCCAAAATTGAAATGTGCCAATAATCCTGCTTCAATAAAACTCAACACAAAGTTCAATTTAGACTTCTCTTTTTTCGCGAAAGTGGATGTCTTTGCAAAGAAATTTTTATTTGGGCCTTGCGTGTGTTTCTTGAGTGAAGACTTCATTCATTAAAGGCAGGTAGGAACATTGGTAATTACTGCGAAAACCACCGGCCGATTTACGGGGGAAAGAAACTTGCTCAAAGTGAACAAAGGACTGGTCCCAAATAGCGTGTGAAATTAATCCGCAAAATTAACACTTTAGCAACGGAGTTGCTTTTAAAGTCCAAGGGATAATGGGGTCAGGCAGCCAGACTTGGTATTTCATAGAAATTCACACTACACCGGCACAGCTGCGTTCTGCGTCACGTCTCGCATTACGCGAGACGCGTGCGCCAACCTCCATATAAGGAGTTGTTTTGACGTTAGGACTTAAAGGTTTTGATTTTTGACAGAAATGTTTCCGCTCGGGTAATTATTAGCATCAAGACTCCAGACATATAGGAATTTGTATCCTTGTGGAGTCATTTCTTTGTTCGGTTGGTCTTAAACAGAGTGTGCAAAACCGGCCAAGCACACATCTATTTCCTTATTCAAAAGATTTTTGTTATGATGAAAAGGTCCACTTAATGATAAAAACGACAAACCCCTTCTAACAGGCTCACTGCGGCCCTGAGTAATGTCCTGATAGGCCCATTAGATCTGAACACCCAAATAGATATGATACACTTGACATATTTCACCAAAGCTGCCACACCAAAACACCCATTGCCTAATTCACTCGTAAGCCGTTCAACATGGCGCAGCGGAACATTACATTCACCAGAATAATTTGTGTTTTTTATTCACAAAGGCACCTACTAGGTCAAGCGGAACGGTGTGCTTTTTATTATGGCTTATACACTCACATTGTGGTCGCTAATACAATGCCAATAACATGTTCCCATTCGGTATTTCAAAATAATCGTCATTTGGTTCCCCTATAGGAGCTGGATTCTGCGAACCATTATGTATGTCTTTTTGTACACCTTTGACAAGTTAATTTATAATAAACCGCCACCATTTATAATGCAGTAACTACGGAAACACACATAAAGGCAGCCAATCGGCAAAACACTTCGTGCTAGGCTGGTATTTCGAATGATAATATAAACATCACATTCAGTTGAATGGGTTTGGGATGGAATGCGGTGAAGCAAGTGTATTTAAATTAATTAATCTTGGTTGTGTTCATTTTCTTCTGTTGCTTCTGCTACTATGCCCATTTATAAGGTACACAATAAAAATATACTTAATACTACTGCCTGCCATGCATATACCTCGACTTCCCTTTCGAAAACGTTCATCGATTATTTTTTTTAATGAAATGTTAATTTTGTTTGAAGACAGAATGACAGGTGGTTGTTTCTTGACGATTGTACAAATACTCTTTCTCCCAGTTAGTTATAAGGCTGCGTTGTAGAGAATGCACATGGTATTTCGTATCGGTATTAATTATAGAAATCAATTACTCTTTCTTTTTGTTCGTTCTCTCTTTGACGTTTTGTTTGTTTATTTTTTTTGTACGGAGACCCGCCAATGCCAAAAACCAAGCACTCTGGAACTAATGTCACTTTACTGCGTAGTTTAATAATTCACAGACGTTCCATCACTCGTGCTCGTCAACCAAACACGTTAATCCGGGTGGAGGAGTGTGTGTATACCCCTCACACTTTTTGACCAGGGGGATGCGCAGTTGTATCATTTCCTTCACATTTTGTTCAGTTGCGGATAGCAGCTCAACAAATCATCGTGTTTGCATAGCGCATAAGAACTTGTATCATAAAAAGCGCCCCCTAGTTTGTTTGTTTGTTTGATTTATTTCCATTCATACATGTACATACATAAGCAACAGTTCACATAATATAATATAAATACATGTAGTTAAATAATAAGCAGAATTGGAGTATGAATGGGGGTGTCATCCAGAGAAGGACTAGCCTTCTGTGGTCATGTGGTTTCTAGTATCCAGCATCCAGCCTCCTCCCTTGCTTTCAAATTTCCACGACCGGGCAATTTTGGTCATCTCCCATTTATTTATTTATTTATTTATTTATTTATTTATTTATTTATACCTTTATTTATCCAGGGTAAACCCAAACAGCACAAAGCTGGTTTTCATAAGGGCCCTGCATTAAATTAACTAATAATATGAAATTTACAAAATCGAAGGCTTAAAATTATATGCACTTAACACAAATAAAAAGCAAAAACTAAGAAAAGATGAAAGAAAAACCAGCAACAAAAACAAATCAACACTCTCTCGGTAAAATAACGTTACTAAAACAGAGTGCCAAAAAGGAGTGTATAAACAAACAGACAGACAGAGGGACTTCAATACGGGACAAATTTAAAAATATATATATCTATATCTATAAAATATGAAACAAACATATATCCCTTAAAAATTAGGACGTTTAAGAAGATTCAAGTAAAAAAAAAATAACACATAAAGAATACTCAAACATTATTATAAAACAAATACAAATACTTATTAAACAAAATACGAACATAAAAACTGGTAGATGTAAGAAAAAGAAAAGAAAAGAAAAAAAACCCTAAAATGATAAAAGTATTAAAAATGTTAATATAAGTAATTAAAAAGTTCAGTCTTAAAAACAGGAAGCGAACGTGTAACTCTAAGCTGGGCAGGAAACTATTCCAAATTTTGGCTCCAGTGACTGCAAAACCTTGAGAATAATATTCTGTTTTAGAGATGGGAAGCTTCAAGCTGTTATTTGTATTCTGTCTAGTTACTTGGTATTGTGCAAAACATGAGAAGAAATCAGTCATGTATTCAGGAGCCATAGAGTTTAAACATTTAAAGACAAAAACTCCTTTCTTATAGATTACTTTCTTTGAATATGGAAGCCATTTTAGCGAAGTAAACATATCAGCAGACGAAGATGTGAATTGGCAGCCTAGAATTAATCTGGCTGCTCTTTTAAGCAATTTATTGAGCGTATGATTGTGACGTTCATATCTGCCTCCCATACCGCACAGCAATAATCTAGTATAGGCATGACTAGGCACTGAACAAGAGTGCAAAGACTAGTTTTTGGAATACAGTGACGAATTCTGTACAACATGCCTAGTTTGGCAGAGATGGACTTTTGAACATGTTCAATATGAGCAGACCAAGTGAGTGAGTCATCAATAATAACGCCCAAACATTTAAAAGTGCTGACCTTCTCAACTAAGGAGTCAACAATATAAATATTCAAGTCATTTGACGTAATCTTATGCTTTGATCCAATGAGCATGGCCTTGGTTTTAGAAGCATTGATTGTTAACTTATTTCTCGTTGCCCAATCGTTTAATCTAGCCATTGCTTCGTTGAGGCTGCTCTCGATTCCTTTCTAATGTTGAGGAGCTACATGTTATTGTAGAGTCATCTGCATACATGTACAATTGACAATCCTCAGGAATTATAGAAGGAAGGTCCATAGTATAGACAATGAACAACAGTGGCCCAAGGATTGACCCTTGTGGTACACCAGTATTTAACGGGAGCGGATTTGTTCCGCTCGATGCACACAGATTGTTTGCGGTTGGTTAGGTATGAACCCTTACCAAACCAGTTTAAAACAGACCCTGACAAGTGCATATTCTGTAGCTTCTCTAAGAGGATAAAATGATTGACAGAATCGAATGCCTTACTAAGATCAATACAAACGGTACCTGTCATTTTACCTTTATCTATTGCATAAAGACAATGATTAATTAATCCATGCAAAGTCGTCTCCGTCGAGTGCAGTGGTCTAAAACCAGATTGGCAAGCTGGAATCAAACTGTTATCATCGAGGTATGAATATAATGCACTGTGAACTGCCCTTTCGAGGATTTTGGAAACAAGTGGCAAGATAGAAATTGGCCGATAGTTATTGACACTTCATTTATCTCCACCCTTGTGGATGGGAATAACTGAGGCATGTTTTCACGCATCTGGATAAAGACTACTTCTTAGTGACAAGTTCAAAATAAAAGTAAGCGCCCCAATAATATAGGGGCATGCTTAACGCTTATGCCATCGGGACCAGTTGCTTTCCCGGTAGGCATTGAACTAATCTGTTTCTTAACAAAATCTTCAGTAATATCAGGACAAATAAATTCCTCAAAGTTGTAGTGCGCCGCGGCATGAACAATGTTACTTTCATCCCCATCAGAAGCAACATTTGACTGATTTTTTTTCTGCCATGCGCTCACCAATTGTTGAGAAGTGGTCATTGAATACACCAACCATATCCCCCTCTCACCCCCCCCCCCCCAACACATTGTGTGTATTTGCCTGCAATCGGGGACCCCCATTGTCCCTCTCTTTTGGTTTTACTCTCTTTGTACTCTTTGTTTGAACTTTTAGAAAGACCTCCTATATGTTTTTTTACACGAATCCAAAGTGGGGACCTCTCGGGAATTGGGGACCCTATTGTCCGCTATTGTTCAACGTCCCCTGTGGAATGCAGAAAGAAACTCACTAGCATGTGCGGACACACAGATTAACGCCACAGTCTTCAACAAATTCGGTTTTTATTTCTCTCAATAAAATGTTCAACTTGCGCATGTTTTTATTCCAACCCCAACCCAAGTCTTGGGGGGGGGGAGGCGGGAGTTTACAAACCTGGGAAAAATGTACACTATCGATACTGATTGCGGGACGGTAGCCAGCTTACCTGCAACACGGAATTATTGTCGTGCCGCAAGTAATTCCAAATTTGTAAAGTAATAACCATGGACGGATTTTGGTTTCGGTTGATGTCTCCCTCGATAGTGAATAACGTTTGTAATTGATAGAAACATAGCAAACAAAGTAAATTTTTTCGGGATTTTTTTTATCAAATAATCCGTGATTCGTATCACTGTAATAAAAGTGTGTTGAAGTGTGGTTATCGGAGAGAATAGAAAAGGGGAAAATACTGTCTTATCTATTATACAGACCCAGAGTGGCGGCTGGTGTTCAAAGGCGTGGCAGGAACTGGAGTCAAGCTGCATGACATGTGGACCACAATGAACTGGAAGTCGAGTTATGAGGCCAGTTGCCATCGCCGTAATAATTCCCTCTACCGAGCCTGGCGCAACGGACAGCTGAATATCCGAAGGGTAAGTAGGCCTGCTATCAATATTTAGAAACAAATGTTTTACCGCTTTTTGCGCAAAACGAACAATGACATATTAGTTAGCTGCAGTGAAAAGAGTTTTTCTCTAGTGATTCATCGTTCAAAACTACGAGCTTTAACGCGCGTAAGAGCATTGGTAACTTCACAGAAACGGAACTAGCGATTTAATGAGAAAAACATTGCTCAAAGTTAAGATGAGTCTGGTAGTATTGTAACGAAATCCCTTGCCGATTCCGCCATTAAAATGTGGGTTCGAAGAAAAATATTAATTATGGTGAAGACTTAATTAAACAACTAAAATCTAAGACGAATAATGGCAACTTGCCTTGTTGCAACAATTTTTTGCGACTTCTTTGACATTTTATTTTTAGCACACAAATTAAACGAAATGTTAATAGGACAAGCAATAAATGACAATACGGATGGAAAAAAATTGAACTAGATTAATTACAGAGCTAGTTGCTTCCCGCTCATGCACGGGATGCAACGAGCATGTATGTTCCTGAACATGTTGGCCAAATTCAAGTGCATGCAGTACAGAGTGAATTTTAATGCACCAGAAACCCTGCCTCAATTTGGGCGACGCCCTCCCCCCCCCCCCCCCCAAGTGGATATGTAACAAAATAAACCCCGGCCTATTGCACAAAAACAAACAACTCAAAATAACAAGGAATATGGCTGGAACTGTAACCAAGTTCTTAAAAATAAATGCAAACGTACATACAGAACGAAACAAACAAGAACATCTCACTGCTCTTGATGTTCTCTGGTGTATCCCAGTCACTAGAGTCTAGTCCCTGGTGAAATTCCTTACGCCCCAGTTTCATGGGACTTGTTGGAGTAATGATTGGAATGAGGTTAATGAGCAGCTAGTTTTCCGGGGATTTACTCTCTGGCCCTGGCAGAGTGAAGAATAGAAACTTAACAATGGTTAAGTTGGACTGTTGCATGTGACAGAACTAGTAAAATAATGGTATAGTCCAAATTTAGAATCAGGTCAAATGCTATGGAGAGCAATTTGTACAAAAACATTATGTTAAACTAAATTGAGGTATCACAAAAATACACCAAAACAAATTAATAAAAAAATAAAAAAGTCTATTTTTGCTACAGTATGTACCGTCCGTCTGCATAAAATGGTTTCATTAGGAAGAAACCAACTTTTGAAGGTGCATGGTTTTTTTTACGTGCACAAGAAACGGAATCCAGTTACGAGATGCCGAAAATGTGCATTTTAGGCCTACGCCTACTCTGTTTTCTCAAATTAGTCCGTGGGACGAGAGGCCGAAAACGCTTTAGTTTTTGAGATACGCGATCTGGTCCGCCGAATTTTATAGAGCTTTCCAGACATGTAGTGGTACCATATCGAAAAAGCTTTGTTCCCCGATCCAAACTTCGTTTGGGAATGAGAAAAGCTGGGATAAAAACGCCGAAAATTTGTATGAGCAAAAACATAAGAAATAGCGCCCCCATTGACACAGTCACAAACCATTTCGCACGCAATGAGTGCTTGCCAGATAATACTTCTTTCAAGTTTCATATTACATGCATAGTCTAGATTTTTGTTATTATTTCTTATCAGAATGGCAAACCCTTTTTATTACAGTTTGTCCAACTTAAAATGATCAATGCAAGTTTTAAGATCGAATGTTATGTATTAGCTACATAAAAACTTATTGGTGTAGTTAAACCGTACTTCAGATGAGAATCTCAGGGTAACATCTTTCAGTTCTACCCCCCCCCCCCTCTTTTTGCGGGGGGGGGGGGATTTGTCGAAAAGCCATTAATAAATTTTTTTTTAACAGACTTTCCCCCTTTTCAATAGCAGTGACGCAAAATTTTAAAAAGGGATTATATACATGTATATGAGATAAGTTGAAGCGTCTTATTACAAAACCACTCAAAAATTACATCTCAAGTTCTTCTACATTACGTGTACTTAGGTTTAATTTTATTTTGATTGCACTTTTTATAAAAAAAATAATACTCATAAATACAAACAGGGCAATAACTGCAAATATTTTTTTTTTTATATTCCAGGCACAACGTGGTTTAAGTAATCACCAAAAGACATACAAATAGTTATTTATTTAATATAATCTAATTTTTTTGTGGGGGCAATATAAACATGCGCAGTTTTTACCCACACAAGAAGAATGGTATTTAGATTACATAGGTTTGTTCAATCTGTACTGAATGAGATTTACTCGCTTTTTTTCAACTGACAAAACGAGTTATGTGAGCACCTGTATGCATCACAGACCGATTACATAATTGTTGTAGATATATTACTTGTCAAAGGTCTCATCAAATTGAAAGACCCAATTTCTGTTTGCAAACGTTTTTAAGAGAAAATGAATTTATCTTCCACTATTTGGAAGCTTTGAGTGGCAGCTAACTGCAATTATTTTGTTTCAGCTGAAATCGTCTTATCTTTTTTATTTGTTCATGTTTTGTTGATGCTCCATCCATTCCTGTGAAAACCACCAGTAAACCTCAACCTCAGCGAAAAAAAAGGCCTCGTCCCACGGACTAAATGTATATTGTCACTGGGCTCAAACCTTAACAAATTAGTTGTTATGCACCTTACTTAAGATAGTGAGTACTTTTTTTGCTTCAAACGGAAAAAAGTGCACAAAAAGCAAATGATCCCCTTTAAGCCAAAAAAAAAAAAGTCTCCGGTTTCTGGTTTGCGCGCGCGTCGCCGTAGCCATGCGCGTCGGCAAAATGAAAAAGGTTTTTTTTTCAATAAAAGATGATGTCTCAATACCGCCAAACTCACTGGTTTGACTAGAATCCTGCTGCTGCACAATTTTAACGTGTTTTTAGATGGGGTTATGATCGAGAATAAGCTTTATGTGGCCTCTCTGGACTCCCATATATTTGCACTAAGTTTAGTCGGGCACCATTTGCAGTCATCAGCCGACATTTGAAGCAAAAAAACAGGTAAAAAAAAAAAAAAAGCCGCGTCGCCGCACCACTTTTTGGGCAAGCTCCATACCAGAAACCAGAGACTTTTTTTTTTGACCTTAGAGGCACATATTGCGCTTTATTAGTTAGTTCCAAATGCAAACTAGTTACCCAATATTTTCTCCCTAAGATCACTTTTTTTCTGATTCAGTCCTCGGTCGACTTTTTAATGTTTGTGTTTTGATAGAATTTGTCACTTTTTGTTCGTTTATTATTTTCAGGTTACCAGGTGACATTCGTGCGTCCATTCATTGAAACTGAGATTTTTGATAATTGTTCGCCATAAAAAGCAGTGATGCGCCGACTTTATTCAGAACTTACTCAACTGTTTGCAGAGGGTTTAGACTTGTATTCCTATAATTTGATTTGGTTGGCTATTGCTTAGTTGGTCATTTTGTGGGTAACCTAAAACAAAGTACATTGCATAAGAATCGAAAATACTTATTATTTATAGTTTATTGTCAAGTGTTGAAAAGTCGAAAATTCTAAAATCGTTTCTACTTAAAACATTTCTACCTATGACAAAAGTCATTCATTTCAATTGTTTTTCGCTGTGCACGGCCATCGTTTTTGAAAACTTTGAATATTGCTCTGCGTCCTAATATAGATATATATATATTTATAATCTACTTACAGTATGTGTTGTTTCGAAATGAGAGAAAAAAGAGAGAAAACTGAAATTGAATCGACCACTGTGGGCATTGCGTGATACAAACAGAAATATGACGGACATGCACTATAATAGAGAAATAACAACAGATTAATAAAGCTAATACCTTGCAATTAATAACATTGACACATTATTACCCTCTCTTTTCTGCTAAGGTGAAGCTTTCACTGTATGAAGGTGCGAGGATGACAGCCGAGTTGATTTTCGATGGAACCGGCTCCGACATCAAGAATTGGTTCACACAGACCCGCCTGATTTCATCTCCCTGGGATGATCTCAAATCGGCTGCGCTTACCGGATCTGTGGGTAGTGGTCAGCTCTTCAGTATCGACGGTGATGATAGAGAGTAAGTGTAGTCTGGTGGTGTTTCTTGTTTGTTCGTTGGTCTTGTTTATATGTTGTTAGTTTGATGTGTATTGCGCCTTTTGTGATGTTTGTAGTGTGGCAGCCGATAAACAAAAATTATGTAGAGACACTTAAAGTTGTATCGTCCGTGCTCATCGACACTTTCGAATGGCTCTTGTCGAATTTTCTGCTTGTGTATTTTTATTTTAACGAAAAAAAATGCATTGATTTCTCTGTTTGGCAGTCGTCTGAAGAAAGGCTTCAACTTTGGTTGCTTTTGCGCACATTAATGGCTCCGCCCTGCAAGTAGACTGGTTCACAACCCCTATATTATCGCTTCTAATAGAGGCGTGAACCAATCTACCCAACCAGAACTGTATTACTGTCGGTCCGCAAATAATTCGAAGTTCGTAGTGAACGTGGTCAGTCTTTTACCGTTCAATTGATTAAACTATGGTGCTAGAAAACTAAAAATGCAAAATAAGAATAAAATCTATTTTTTTTTCGAGGCGAAACTTTAAAATTGCACGGACACTTCATCTTTATTTTAAGCCAGAGAGCAAGTTGGATGACTATGGTTAGGTATAAATCGACTAACTTCACTCGAACGTTTATTGGTTGAACTGTCTTCTCTTGTTGACTATTTGGAACCGAAGCCTGGGCACGGTTGCACCTCTGATTACCAATAGAGGGCGCACCATAATGACCGCATGGAGCAAGCCTTCAAGAAGTGTGATTGAAGGCGTTCACTTGTTGCTGTTTTAATAGTGCACAGGCGTAAGTTTCGTGTCGAACCAACCACTCGACGTATGGTTGCAGGCCAGTAAATCGGTCCAAAATTGCCTACGCCGGCCAAATCACGATTTGCATGCCCTCAAATTCTTCGGTATTTGAGCATATTTTGGGCAATGAACTTGAGGGTTTGTAAAAAATATGGGTGGAAACCGTGCACAGGACTGTGAGCTTGTATAGTTCTGTGCAATTTAGATGACATTGGGCCCTGAAAGCGCTTTATTTTGCAGTGCAGTGTAGGCATCGTTTTTCATCTTCGGATTAAAATTTCTCCTAAAAAAAATTGAAGAGAAAATGAAAGATGATGAAATAAGCTTTAATTTGATGTGTATCTCGAACACCTTGGAGAGTTGTGAGTATTTTTCCTGCATTTCTGAAGTGGGGGCATTTATCATTGGGGTCTATGGCAGTTTATTTACTGGTCTGCAACCTTATGGTCCTCGCCCGAACTTGCTGTAGGCGGACTCCACTTCCTCACCCTCAGCTTCTATACATTATGATTGAGAGCTTTATGGTTTTGTTTTAATCTCTCAATTGGTATAATATGAAGTCCGGGAAGGGACAGAGTGGAAATATTTTTGTTATTTGCTAATTCGTTCCCACGAATTGCTAATTCGTTCCCACGAATTGCTAACTCGTTCCCACGAATTACTAATTCGTTCGCACGAATTGCTAACTCGTTCGCACGAATTGCTAACTCGTTCGCACGAATTGATATTTCGTTCCCATGAATTTCTAATGCGTGGGAACGAACTGCTAACTCGTGGATCCGGGAACGCGTTAGTAATTCGTGGGAACGAGTTGGTAATTCGTACGAACGAATTAGTTATTCGTGCGAGCGAAATATCAATTCGTGGGAACGAGTTAGCAATTCGTGGGAACGAATTAGCAAATTACGAAAAACATTTCCACCCTGTCCCTTTCCGGGCTTCATAGTATAATAGAAATATACGTGCCAAACAGAGACTCTCCCAAAACAACAGCACGAGTACAATGACACCTGTTACACTCGTTGGCAATGGCAATTTGCATGTAGCTCATTGGAACACTCACTCCGTTTGCAACAAAACTTTGCTAATATATGACTACATTGTATCAAATAACGTTGATATTCTGCTCCTGACAGAAACATGGCTCTGTCATGATGACCAAGTTGTCATAAATGAAATTACCCCACCTGTATACATGTATACATTTTTCAATGTTCCACGCCCTGCTGACAGACACGGTGGAATTGCAATATTATTCAAATCCCAACTTAACCTTCGACTTGTTCTAGTACCACTCAATCCAATGTAAGCACCTTTGGATATTCAGTCATTGCAGATGTCAAACGGCGCATTCACTACGCGATTATTTACAGACCACCTCCATCTGCGAAGAAAAGACTGAAAACATGTACATTTTGGACTGAATTCGATAATTTCCTTGATGTTGTCAACAGTCTGACAGGGAAATTAATCATTCTAGGCGACTTCAATATCCACTTCGACTGTCCTGAAACCTGATACATCCCATATTAACTCTGCGCTCGCTGCTTCAAGACTGCTACAGCATGTTTCTGAGCCAACACACACCCATTGGCACACCTTAGACTGGATCATCACTAGAAGTGATGAGGACGGCCTACTTGTCACCCACACTGTCGACATGTATGGCATCTCAGATCATGGTGTCATCTCTTGCTGGCCCCGTCTCGAAACTCCAGCACCGTCAATAACGCAAATTTCACGATGTTGACCACGAATCCTTGGCCCATGATTTGTCCATCCAGCTTCAAGATGTGCACTTCGATGGCAACGACATCGACAAACTTGTCCATGGCTTCGACGCATCTCTCATGCACGTCCTGGACAAGCATGTACCACGGAAAGCCACAAATAAGTCCAAACGCCCTAAGCCCAAATGGTATAACAGCTCTGTGATTGAGGGAAAACGCGCACGTCGAAGAGCGGAGCGCAAGTGGAGAAAGACCAAATCCATTGCTGACCGCGCTGCATACGATGCCACAAAGCAAGCCATGAATGACATTTTGACTAAAGCTAAATCGCAGTTCTTCAGAAACTCACTGGTCAACTCTAATCCAAAACAGGCTTTCCTGGTTATTAACGAGTTGCACCCCGACATACACCGGCAATATCGGACACACCCTGTACCCTTGCCAACGATTTCAGCAACTTTTTCACTGAAAAAGTCAAAAGCATTCGGGCGTTCATAGATGACCTTCATGTACAGTCCCCTTCAACTGAAGATACAATTCTGCACCCGGACTGCACCATATCAGAATTTCATCCCATCTCTGAGAAAGATCTTGGTGAACTCATAAGTCAGACTGCCACAGAGTCCTGCCAGTTATATCCCATCCCAACCTGGCTTCTCAAACAGCACATCAAAATCCTACTGCCATCACTGACTGAAATCGTGAACGCATCCCTCTCATTTCGGAATTTTCCTGAGGCACTTCGAGTCGGTATGATCATGCCGATCTGAAAGAAGCCTTCTCTTGATAAAGATGAACTTCGGAACTACCGGCCAGTGTCCAACCTTTGCTACCTCGCTAAGCTCATCGAAAAGGTCGTCTGCCTGCAACTCAAGCAGCACATCAACACTCATGCCCATGCCGATCCCCTTCAGTCCGCCTACAAAGCTGGCCACAGCACAGAGACTGCATTGCTTTGTGTTCAAAATGACATTTTGAAAACTCTTGATAATAATAATGCTATGTTCTTATTTCTTGATTTGTCTGCTGCATTTGACACTCTTGATCATGGCATTATGCTGCGTCGCCTCCAAACTCGGTTTGGCATAACACATACTGCTCTTAAGTGGTGTGCCTCCTACTTCAAAAATAGAAGGAGTTATGTCACCGTTGCAGGGGTCGACTCAGATGAAGAGCCATATCCATTTTGGCGTCCCTCAAGGGTCAGTCCTTGGCCCACTCGCTTTCACCATGTACCTGAGTCCTCTTGGTGATGTCCTGCACCGACATGATGTGAAATACCACATATATGCAGACGACATCCACATTTATCTCGACTTCAATCCATCCAAACCGAACGACGCAGCTTGTGCCCTTTTCAGATTGTCAAATTGCATCACCGATGTGCAGAATTGGATAACAAACAAACTCAAGTTAAATGAGGATAAAACTGAATTTTTCATTGCCGCATCTTCTCATCATCAGCATCAGAAACACTTAATCGACATAACTCTGCAGATAGGTAACACAACAATCAAACCATCTCAGACAGTCCGAAACTTGGGTGTTGTTTTCGACAGTTCCATGACAATGAGCAAACACGTAGCAAACATATGCAAATCTATCAACTACCACAACAGGAACATATCCAAGATTCGTAAATACATAGACACAAACACATGCCACGCTGCTGTCCGAGCACTTGTATTATCCAGACTCGATTATTGCAACTCTCTTCTCAATGGTATTAATCAGTATGAGGTTGATCGACTCCAACGGCTTCAAAACAATGCCGCTCGTATCACATTATCTCAACCCAAATACACACATGCCTCTCTACTCCTTCAACAATTACATTGGTTACCAGTTAGACAACGCATCAACTTCAAAACAGCAGTTTTCATGCACAAAGCACTTCATAACACAATGCTGCAGTACATAATGGGATCACTCAACCTTAATGCACCCAGCCGTAGTGGCCTCCGCTCCAGTAACAACCTTAGAGTTCCACGCACATTCAAAAAGGCAGGGGACAGGGCCTTCTCAGTGTCTGGTCCCCGGTGTTGGAATTCATTGTCACACAACATCCGCAACATCAGTTCTCTTGACAACTTTAAGGGCAGACTGAAAACCGATCTGTTCTCTCCACATAACCTGTAACTTGTCTTCTGGAGTTAACGCATTGATACTTGCGAAAATGCGCGCTATAAATCGTGTTATTATAATTATTATTATTATTATTATTATTATTAAAGGGTGCTGGATCGGCGTTTTTTTATCAACAACGGCTATGGTGGATGTGAGGTGGATAACGGCTGGCTGATTGTGACCGAGTCTGCCGCGACAGGAAAATGCCTATGGGAGACAGACACGGCAGCACATCCTTACTCAATCATACTCTACAGTGCAACCAACCAGAAGGTCGTATGGTCTCAAGGTATAAGCGAACTAGCGAGTTTAACGATAGACGTGAATTAAAGTTGGTGATTGTCCGGGTTTTGTTCGCCTGCAGCTCGCCGCGCCCCGCGAAACGGACAGATAACCCGGCCGTACCGTTCGCGGTGTTTTTATTTGCAGTACACATCGTCAATGGATCATGATTATTCAGCTAGTTCGATGTTTATTCATAAGAAAATAACAATGACGTCACACTATTGCTATCACTCAGTCATCCATGTGCATTAAAGAATTTCAAAGAACGGCCTTCGTCGAGCTGCCCCAGTGGCCTAGTGCCTCTTTTGATAGTGGAATGAAGGATTGCAAGATCTGTGGTTCGAACCCATACCCGTTTTCATCAAATAATTGTGTTGGTTGGGATAGGTTTAATTGAAGGGAAAACACTACTAGAACCTCAGCGTCTTCCATCCCCACAGCGTGATAAATATTCATGTTAGGGTGCGAGATGTGATTGGTTAAAATGCGATGTATGCTGCAAAAGAAATACGCGTACCGTTCCGGGGTTCTCTTCATACAATGTATCCCGTGGCGAGCGGTATGGCACCAACACGCGGGGACGGTTGTGCATACTCGACCCCGATATGCATGTAGTACGAAACCCAGCATAATTTTAATATAAAAAGACATAACACACAGCACACCTGTCTAGCGACTTGTCCACAAGTCTAGTGAAATGAGAACGATCTTTTGAAGGCTCGTTTCTTTATCAAACGCAGATTAAAAATCAAACCAATACATTATATACCAAGCATGCAATGCGGATGTCTTAAAAGGGGATTTTCGTCAGCGGAAGACAGACAACATTTTCGGAAATTACATCAATCTCTAAACGACTTCCCCATTCTTGTTTTACTTAAAGCAATATTTTACCCACATTTTAAACCTCCTCAGTGGTTTGAAAGAATACTAAATTTGAGGCGTCACCCTTCACAAAAAGTAAAAAAACACGGAAAGTTTATAGCTGTCAAAAAAGCACGCATTGTTCAAGATTTTGCGGCCTCAAATCAAATCATACTACATGCATTTTAGAATTCCAGTTTCCACATCCCAATTCGCCAGTCAAATCACACGTTTTGACACTACGTTTTATGGTTATGGTTTTCTTGGTCATAACATACCGCATCTGCAAGGTTGAGATATAGACTGAATTTTACACTAGACTTGAGGACAAGTCACACTGTAGACAGTCGTGTTTTGTCTTTCGGCGCTGCTAATATCTACTGTCAATGCAATACCATATCGCGGCGGCGGGCGAGCAAAACCCGGCCAATAATACCGACTTGAGATCAAGTCTACATTCACACACACACACACACCCCCCCCCCCCTACACATACAGTCGTGTTTTACTATAATCTCGAGGACAATGCCTTGTCTTTTCCTTTGTCCCTGTAATTTAACACTCTCCCATAGACTAAGCACACAAACGCATGACCGAGGACCGATTTCAACAAAAGATGAACTCTCGAGGACAAAAAAGAATCTTTTGTTCTCCCTTAGTCTGTCTGTCCTCGGGGTGTATATAGTTCACGTACACACATACACACTAACAGTCATCGATTTTCACGCCGGGGTGAACGAATTAAATTCGGAAAAATGAGGAGAAATTTAATTGTGCTAGCGCAAATTAAGTCACTCTGGACATTATTTCTTTAATGCACATTGGCTCATCAAACCATTTTGGTTCGTCGATTTTTCTCAAGTTTAATAAGTCGGAATAAAAACAAACTTGCATTTTTGTTAAGTGTTCAAATAGGCCCTTACCAACAGAATTTAGTACTTGGGTCCAACTAAGAAGTAAACACGTAGTGCTAAGCTATCTGCTTTATTTGTTTTTATTCTTATACCTTCTCACAGCTGGAACAGTCGGTATTGCAGATAGCCTTACCATCCACATCCATACTGAGTGAGGGTGGATCTACAACTATGGCGTATCAAGAGGGGGAAGGGCAGCTCATAGCTCCGTTTTTCTCTCCGGTGACAACTTTTACATTTTAATTAACGGACATTTATCGCACGTATAGATGGTTGTGCTTGAATGTTATGTTCCCGGCCGGAATTCTTCAGCCACGCATGCGCGGATCTGGACTTTATTTGAGTTGGCTTACTGAAAGAGAGCAACTTTAATATTTCGCGCCATTTTAGTTCATCTAAAAATCATTTCACTTCTAACCTTGTGTTTCGAGACAAATCCTTTGTATTTATTTGGACATGTCGCTATCTTTGGTAATATAATATATAACAACATTTTTTTGGGGGGGGGGGAGCGCCAACTCACTTATGATTATATCTTTTGAAATTGTTCAAACAGCTATATATACAAAATGTTTACATATACACATTTACATGTACACCCACAAACATTAGACCTTTGTGGATAATTTTTTTTCCATTTTCCACGCTCACGCAAACAACTATACTGTTGTATTGACGATTTGTTGAGAGTGGAGGGTTACTATCTATATAGGCTGATTAGAAGTTGAGAAGGGTATCGTGAAAGTTTGTTAAAATTCTTGAGGTACTGGTAGATTATTTTGGGTGGGGAGGGACAATGTGATAGGCGTCTCACTATCACATTTCAACTTGCCGTCAGGATTTTTATGCCTGATGAAAGATGCACTATAGCAAATAAGCAATGTATATATCGCATTTTTATAGTGTAAAAATAAGATACATTTATTCAATCAAACAAGGTGTAATAATGAATGCACAATTACCAAATTATTATAAAATAGCCTACAAACTATATGTAAATGACAGTATCAATTAAGCGTTTTGTGAAATTGTTGCGTATACTATGCTGTTCTTTTTTGGAAAATTTGAATTTTGTATCAAATCTCACAATGGTTTCGACCGTACCGATGTAGCTGTGAATGCAGCGTTTCTTTTTAACTACATCCATTTACGGGCGCAAGCCAGCTATTGACATCGTGCTTATGCTCAGTTACGCAAAAACGTGCATCTAATATTTTTCCCACGACACAACCGGCACGCAGGGACGCCCTGTACCTGTAAATCTTAAACAGGATAACTTAACGAACTGCACTTGGACGGTTGAAACAAAGATCACTTTTTCTCCTTTTTTTCTTCTTCTGGCACCAGTTGACCAAAAAAAACATGAAACGATATCTGCTTGAAATAACTAACACCCGATTTAGTCCATTTCTTACAATTTCGACAAATGCAACTGTTTTACAATACCTTTCATCCATATTTTATCTTATTGTATGTAAATATTATGTGTGTAGCTAGACATTGTATTGGATCACCAAATAAATTTTAATTTAAGGTGCAATAAAATAGTTGAAATATACTAAGCATAGACTCCAAAAACAAATAAGAAGGCTTTTTCTATTGGGTCGTTTGTCTGTGCTTCGTGGTGCATACAAAATGAGCTACCTAAATTAATCATGCAAAAAGAGCCATTAACTGCATCATTCCGGACTCATCTACTCTTTGATGAGCCTTTAAAAAAGGTATGAACGGAATCCTTTAATCCAGACTTTGTTATGTTCTTTTCCAAGCTGTTCAAGGCCTCCCTTGTTGTTTATCATTAATTTTTAATGGAAATTATCATGTCATAAACAAAACCGTGGATGTTTTTTTATGCAGAAAACCCACTGTATTCGCTTGCGTAGTCGTGACGCGCGTCACTCACTCATCAGAGGTCAATTTCTGGCGCAACCATTGTTCACGCGCACTGCAACGGCCCATGAATACCCGCGTTTTCACTTTGAATGGTGGTTGTGAGTAATCTGTTTCATAATTGGCTTGATTCTCCTCTTTGAAGCGAAAAGAAGCCCAACAATGGTTGTAACTGATGTGCTAAAAGGCAGTGAACTATTTTCAGACAGAGGCCTCCTTGTGAAAATGTTCTATAAAAGTATAGGATGTCAAATTGATGTCTGTGATCGTGTATGTTAAAAGTACGTGTAATGCGTCACTAAGGCCAAAACAAATCTTCGGTTTTTGGTATGGAGCTTGCCCCAAAAGTGGTGCGGCGACGCGGCTTTTTTTTTTATTTCTTTTTCTTCAAATGTCGGCTGGTGACTGCATTGTACGGTGCCCGACTAAATTTAGTGCAACATGTATGGGAGCCCAGAGAGGCCACATAAAGCGTATACTCGATCGTATCTACGTAGCTACGTTATGCGCACCTTTATTTCCGTAAGTTTGTATGGAAAGGTATATTTTATGTCCGTAAAAGTAATATTTTTGACCTGTAGTAGTTATTTCCCGAACAAAATTTAAAATGGGTTACCAAGCTATACTTTCATTTCGAAGTTTGGTCCATGTTATTCTTCGTATTTACTTTCCGTTTTAAACTACTGGTGCGCGTTGCTTAAAAAAAAAAATAATCCGCATCCAGTTGTTTAAGTGCTATTTGCTTCAGAATTAAAACAGAGTACATGTATACAGCCCCCTAGCATCCATCAACTTGCAGAATGATGATCATTTTGAATGTCTTTTTTGTGTGTAGTAGTTGCCTTGTCCTTCAATTTAAATTCATGGCAGTTTTTAAGGGACAACACCCGGAACATTTGTTTCCCCATTGTCCCTCCTAAGGACATGACACACGCCGTTATCAGATACAAAAGAATAGTATACAAATAATGAATGTTTGTGAGTGCAATGGTAAGAATAATTTCATGAGGTGTCAGATGAAATGTTCCATTCCACGAGGCGAAGCCGAGTGGAATGAAACATTCCATATGTCACCGAATGAAATTCTTCTTTCCATTGCACGAACGTGAAACATTCATTATTTGTTTTATATACAACAGATGAATAAATCCCCGTCATCTGATTGGTGGATCGTTGATCACATGTCATTGAATTATTCGTACCAATGCACGGCGCGCGCGTGGTGCGCAGCGCATGTATGCAATGGAAGTACTATCCCACTGTGATTAGAAGTACCATTGCACTGTCACTGCACATGTTGCCGAAGGTGGCGCTGTGGTGTTTAAATTGGCAATAAAAGTTCTGGACTTATTGAACTGTTTAAGTTCTAAACTTATGGAAAAGTTTTAAATTGAGATAAATTGAATATGATAGTTCTCAACCTGTTGAACAGTTTGCATAAATTAAATATGATAACTCTGAACTTGTCAAACTTGTAAACAATTTTTAACTTGAATAAATTAGCTATGAAAAGTCAACCAATCAGATGACGAGGATTTATTCAGGTGTTATATAAAACAAATAATGAATGTTTCACGTTCGTGCAATAGAAAGTTCGCCTCGTGGAATGGAACATTTCATCTGTCACCTCATGAAATTATTCTTACCATTATTTCATTTATTCAGGTGTTACATAACTAATTAATTAATTTGCATGATTGTGCTCTCTTACGTATCCAGCATCTCAAAATCTGCAAGAAGGTGCAAGAATCTCACAATATTGAACAACATTGGTAGAACACATGTATAAATAAACTCGAGGAGTAGATTTAAAAAAAAAATTCTACGGTTTTCCGATCTTGTTTTCCTATGAGTAGCCGTGGTTTTTGTTTGCCCGTTGCAAAAGATGATTTTCACCGTCCCGATTTCGCTTCTATCGGCTTTCCAGATTCCGCTTTTAAGATCTCCATGATTTTGCAATTTCCCAATGCCCCCCCCCCCTCCCAGCCTGGTCACGCCACCGCTCTTAGCGTCATATATTGAGGTCAAATTTTCCGATACTTCTTCGGAATATTCGCAACAAACACACCCACATCCAAACCCCCTTAACCCATCCTCCCAAAAGGTTCGAATCCGCTAATGCAGAAGGAACATTATGGGAGTGTAATTTAATTTCATTCTCAAAACGCATCCTCAAGTTTTCAGGGGCAATATTATTGTCATTAAAAGTCATACATATTGAATGTAGTCCAAGTACATTGTTCTCATCCAAACAGGATAATATATAAGATATTGTAACACAAATATCTAAAATCCTACATTGAAACATTTCACAATTTTAATTTTTAATAATTCAACGGTAATTTAAAGCAGTTTTTACATTCCACGTTTTCTTTTTATCGTTTAAAACTATGTTTTTATATACAATTTTATCAGATAGTATTACATTTATTTTGATATTTTAAGCAACGGGCACCGCCATTTTGAAACGAAAACTAAATACGAGGGGAAAATGGAGCAAAATGGAGCAAACTTCGAGGTGACTATCCAGCTTGATAATGCATTTTGAATTTTGTCGGAGACATAATTAGAACTTGTCAAAAATGTTGCTTTTATGGGCATAAAAATGCACGTTTGTGCACAAACCTACGCGAATTCGTAAAGCCCGGTTCATACTTCACGCGAAAGCGAAAGCGAAGCGATATTCGTGACGCCAACAATACGTTTCAAGCGCGTCCACCAGTGTTGACGACATGGATTTCACTTCGCACTTGCTTTCGCGAGAATTATGAACCGGGATTTACGAATTCGCAGCGCGAATACTTGCCACGACGTCACAAATTCGCGTTCGCTTTCGCGCAGAGTATGAACCGGGCTTTAGGCATGTGCTTGAACCATGGAGGAATAAAAACACATTGTCGAGGGAGTGAGCCCGACCTGGGAAGGAGGTGACGTCACACTTTCTCTGTGAATAGCGTTGCTGAATCGCAAGTCAAGATCAAGGGCCGGGGTAGCTGATGATGTGTTGGAAATCCAAGATCTTTGAAAGCCATTGGGGGGGGGGTGGTAGGCATTGCAGTCAACGCATTAAAAAGACCAAGATTGGCCATATTTAAGGGATGACGTTATTTAAACAAAATGTGTTTTCCCCATCTTGCAAATAATTAACATTTGTCCATGGTGGCAATACGACAATATCATTGAAAACATTAACAGCAAGACTGAAACCAAAACGATGCATTCTCGTTTCTGATGCAGTAGTTAAGTCAAGGTAATACATCAAGTACTGAATTGCTATGTGTTTAATATTCTCACCATTTGTTAATTTATCGCCTAAAAGGGAGGAATTACCTCAGGCACTTCCATTCCATTAAGCACGTTGAAGGGTCAAGGCAAGCATGAATAATAAGTCAGAATTATACTCGAACAGGGTGACTGTTCTTTGAGCAGGGATCGTCTATATAGTTCGTATACGCATGAAATGTCGACTTCTTATAACCCCTCCCCACCCCCGCCATGTACGCATGGCATACACAGTGGCTCCAACCCCTCCTTAAATTTGTACGCATACGCATTTCATAAATATGATTGATACAAGAATGATACTAGTCTTGGTGCGAAGACGTTCTTAGCGGGGTAATTTATGATAACACGGTATACAGCCTTTGTAGCTGAAACATCGCACCGCTGAGGACGTCTTGGAACTTAACCAAGACTAAAAAGATACATGAAGGCGAATGCGCTACGCTTGTCGGGTAATGGACATTTTTACTAATAAATTAATAATTATGCCTGCATGTGCATAAATGGGCCTGGCGGTGAGAAGCGAACGCGGTCCATTGAAAAATATCCAGGGGTCAAAATATTCGGGTCCTTTTCTCTCAATTTGTCCAGGAGTTGTCACTGTTTTTCTTTTGAAACCCCCTTAGATCGCCATAGGCATTACTCTCTGGCCTAAGTGTGTTTTGGGGCACAGAATAAAAACTGTAAAAATTGCTTTCGTTCCGTGCGCTCGGGGGCCAAGGAAATCAGCAGGGCTCCTTTCCGCACGAGTGGAAAAAATATAACCGTGTGCTTCGGGGTACCTGTCCACCAAGTTTCGGGCCGGATCGCGGTGCTGAATCGCGGCGGGCTTCACCGTGGCTGAATAACGGGCTGATTTAGCAAAAGCAGAACTTTGTACGAAAGCCCTGTAGTGCCACCAAGTATATATTTTGACAAAGTTCGTTTTTACGAGATATATTTTTTCCAAGTTCGTTTTTAAGAGATATATTTTTTCCAAAGTTCGTTTTTACGAGATATATTTTTTCCAAGTTCTTTTTTACGAGATATATTTTTTCCAAGTTCGTTTTTACGAGATATATTTTTTCCAAGTTCGTTTTTACGAGATGTTCTTGTGTGCAAAGTGTCACGTGCGCTTTGGCGTTCATCACTTGTAATTCTGTGAGGACATGCGAGTTCTGGATCGATCCTAGGCCCAGCCCACAGTACAGGCCCCTGAGGCACGCGGGAACTAAGCAAAGTTTTATTTGCTGCATATTCAGAGATCCTGTGTCGCCCTGCTGTACTGACTGGACTATCTCGTAAAAACGGACTTGGAAAAAATATATCTCGTAAAAACGGACTTGGAAAAAATATATCTCGTAAAAACGAACTTGGAAAAAAATATACTTCACTTTTGTTAAAATATATACTTGATGGCACTACAGGGCTTTCGTAACTTTGCCATTGAGGCAGTCTTTTTATTTAGTAACACTGTCTCTGAGGTTTAATAACCCATGGAAGCGTTGGCTGCGTGGCGACACTGGGAAGATGAATCTTAATGGTGGGGGTGAGGGGTAGGCCTACAGTGTTATAACGATTGTGGATGCATAAAAGCTGGCATGGGCCTGGCAGGTATTAAATATGAGAAAGTACATTGATTTCATGACATTATTTAATAAAAACAAATGATCGATCTGTGTATGTACGCATTGGCGTGGAACCCCCCCCCCCCCCCCGTTCGTGTGTACGTACTTTATGGACCGTTATTAGTTTAGAGCAAGGGCTGCATTGGACATGGTAAATTGTTAAATTGTTTTTCATTGAATAAGTCATGAATCCTGGCTTGGCTTCTCCGCAAGATGCTCGGATGCCATCAACACAAAAGATGCAGGGAGAATCGTGTGTGCGGGGTTTCCAAATGCGCGTGCGAACATCAAGATGTGAGGTGTTCCCCATGCATGCCCCCCCCTTTAGTTACGCCACTGCAGTGACGTCATGCTTGTCCGTTCCCAACATGCAAACCAGTCAGGCCGAACCGACACTAGTACCATTCACGTTTGTTAATAATGAACTACATGTTTCATCTAAAAATAAAAATATAAAAACTCATCTTTTAAAGAAAGAGATACATTAAATGGTACACTAAGAAGCGCCAAACTGCAACCAACAAAATTTGCCGTGGTGGAAAAACTATCGAGAAATACTTAGTTTTATTATTAAAATTTTACAACAATCAATCCAGAAAATAAATACAAAATTGAACAAAAACAACCAAATCCAAGCTGGCCAGGATTGACAAAAGTATAACAAAACACTGTGACTCATTTAGTAATATCGGATGCAGGATTTTACATGAAGGAAGTTCATTATTGAACTAGTCATATCCGACAGAATTTGGGCATGCAAAATCGTACCTTCACGTAGCCTTGGTCAAGGCGCTAGTTGTTATTCATCCGGGCGTAGCGCGGTAAACGATATCTTCGCTAGCGATATGCATGCAGTCATATGTCCATGCAAGCAGTGCATTAAAAATACAGCGCGAACAGCGACCTCACGCGGCTACTATTTATATGCAAATCAGTTGGACCCAATCTACCGCCTTGGTTCAATCGTCCATGGGAGGTTTTGGGGGTGGTGCTCATTATGTTAATAGCCTTAGCTGACCTTAAATGTCGTTTTCTTATTGTCGATCGCTGCGTGGAAACTTGCATAGTGAAACGTGGCACCGCACTGTGGCGACCGTACATAATCCATACACGTACACGTTGTGTGTCTCTGCACACGGCACCAATGCACAACAGCTGTGGTTCCTGTCACGTCCGCAAAAGGCGAATAGCTGCAAAAAAATTGATGACGTTCGGATTTACCAAGGTGTGATTGGACACTCCACAAAATTATTAGCCCCGCCTACACTTATCTGTATTCGCATACGAGGTCGTGCGCTAGAAATCCAGCGCAAAATAAAGAAAAACATTAGCTTTTGCCGACGATTGAACCAAGGCGCTAGATTGGGTCCAACTGATTTGCATAGAAATGGTGGCCGCGTGAGGTCACTGTGCATAGCGCTAGCGAGGATATCGTTTACCGCGCTACGAATAATAACTAGCGCCTTGACCAAGGCTAACCTTTACGCAAATTAATAACAGAGAAAAATGTCAGCATTTACATGCAACAACCAAGCCATATACCAAGAAGCAATTTTTTACCGCTTTGGAGTTGACATGTTTATCGTCAAATTAATTGTCCGAATTATTTATTATTGATGCCATGGCATGGCCGCTTCCTGGCCCGGAAAGCGCCCTCAATCGGAAATGTGCAAGTAGAAAGCTCGAAATTTTGACGGCCGAGGGCGCTATACCACGTAGCGTCCATAGACTGGTTCTCGGCCTTCAATTGTTCTTCCAACTTCGAATGTAGGGACTGGCAGCGGGCAATGAATTCCGGATGAATTCCTCCAAGTGTATGTAAATTAGCATAGAGAGGCACTCCTTTTCAGTATTTCAAACCTATGCAGTTGAAATACTTGACAAGTTAATTTCGTGAAGACATAATGGCGATTTTTCCTACTGGTTATTGAGAGCCAGTTATCTGGAGCACGTTTTGGCGGCCCGTGAACTGGAACATGTTTCTGACGTCACAGCCGTGACCTGAAACATGTTTCCTGTGCACCGCGAAAACGACTGACCGGAAAATTGTTCATGACGTCATGTTACTACCTACGTGACTGCACACAACCCCCCAAAAAATCACGCGGCGACCGGACGTGATTAACAATAACATTCTAAGCAAAAGTGGGAGGTTTGATTGAAGGTAAAAACCCACTATTTAAACCCCATTTATGGTAAAAAGTAACGTCGTCTGCTGAGCTTCACCTTTCCGCCATCTTGAAACATAAGTGAACCGACCGGAAACCTCGGTTCAACTTTGGTCGAAACAATGACGTCATTTCAGTGTAACCGAAGCGCCAAAACGGCCGCGAACCAGAAACATGTTTACGGTCAATGTGCCAAAACGTGCTCCAGATAGCCAGTTGCTCAACTGTCACCCATGCGTGAGAAGAATGTAAACATCATCTAATAATAATCGTATTGTGCGCGAAATGAGGTGCTGGGGTACGAGCGAATACCAAAGTCAATCATTCCTTCAATTTTTAATGACAGTATTGATGGACAGGGCTCTCTTCTGTTTGGTTTGGGTACTCGTTTCGTCAAATTAATTAATAATGAATGATTGACGAAGCCTTTCGTTCGGTGCGATGCCCTATAATTGGAACATTCTAGCTTTTGAGCCCACACTGGACGGTACATGTGCAGCTAAAGCTCCTTCACGAATGTCGACGGTTAGGTGCAGCTTCGTGAGCAATCTTCTGTTGAAGATGCTCATGATGATATCCATCATCCTTCACTCCGCTCATTGTGAATTAGCAGGTTGGTAGAATTCATTTTTTTATTCCACTACTAGAACATGTGAGCTTTATAATAAGACAAACTTAAATCGACCTAACTAAGGGGCACACCGCGACCATGTTTATATTTACACCAATGCTTTCTTTGGATTTGCCTGTACTTGGATGGCGACAACATTTGCATTTCGACTCTTATTTGAAACCTAGAAACAACATCGATATAAATTCTACAGTACAATGGATACGAAAATAGTCCGCAGTAAAATTGAGTCTGGACGCAGAATTGTAAGTCGAACACAAACCGTAAAAATAGTGCAAGCACAAAAAGTACCACATGATTAGAGGTAATAGTTTAACCCAATAGCCCAAACTATAGGCCTAGTTGGGCCTGTCCCAAATAGGGGGATATCCCAACTATAGTTGGGACGATCCCTTGTATAGTTGAGACAGTGCTATCGTTGGGGCGTAACAGTTTCTCATAGTACAATTTCACAAAGCTACTCGAATCAGCTTGGGCGAATTGTTGAATCGTTGATACAGTTGAGTAGTGTTGTTAAAACTATAGTCCATCATTTGCAGCCATCCGAAAAAGTAACTGGCGTATTATTGTTGAAAAACATACTTGGTTGAAAGAGAGTAAGTGGACTAACCTCCCTGTGAAATTAATCTTTCTGGCAAGCTGTCATTTTGAAGTAATCAACGAAAGAAGGCCTTTCAAATGGTGCGTCTTAAGACGCACCGTAGGAAAATTCAAATTAGTAGTTCGTTTTGTTATTCGGCGCAGCGCGCGCACTCAGTGGCACGACGCACAGGCGCGTGCGGTTGCTATAATTCGTCGGAACAGTGCGCCACATCGCGTATAGCTGCAATTCAAAACAATTCAAAACGTGATTCAGCAACTTTTGATTTGAAATTGAGATCCTAGAATGCTGTTTTTCTCGCAATATACAGCTGAAGCTGAGCTGAAACTTCATCAGGTTAGTTGTTCAGTATAAGATTTTGAACACTTTTGTTGCTTCAAACGAACAAAATGCATAAATTACAAATGATGGACTATATCTTTAAAGGTAGGGTAGATCATTTGTCATTTGCGCATTTTTTTTCGTATGAAGCAACAAAAGTGCTCAAAATCTAAAGACGGGTGCATGCTTAACAACTACCTGATGAAGTTTTAGCTCTCTGAATGGTGTAAACTCCAAGAAAACAATATTTTAGGATATCGGTTTCAATTCAAAAGTTGCCGAGTCATATTTTGAACTGCGCCCGAAATCAGCGTCCGGGACTGGTTCTCATTCGGCCGATTGCAGCTACGCGATGTCACGCACTGAACTGACGAATAATAACAACCGCGCGTGTGTGCGTTGTGTCAACGCTTTTGCCGAGCACCCATCCACGGATTCGCCAAATCACAAATCAACTACCAACAGATATTTCCCAAAATGCGTCACTTGACGAATCTTTGGAAATGGTCTTCTTTTATTGTTTTCCTCAAAATGACAGCATGCCAGAAAGAATATTTCAACAGGGAGTTTGGTGCAATTACTATATCTTTAAACCAAGTAAGCTTTTCAACAGTAATTTCGTCAGTTAGTTTTTGGATAGCTGCAAATGATGTACTCTATACCTTTAAGTACGTAAGTTCCCGAGAATAGGGAATATTTGCTTAGCAAAACAGGTTATCAATAAAAAAATCTTCTGTATTGGACAGCATCATGAAATTGAATGTCGATACCAGGTTAGTGTAAAGAACGGTCAGGTTGTTTGAGCTCTACATTCCCGCAACTTACATATTTATTTTTAATACTTTAATGTTTAAGCCGTGTATGTAACTGGAAAGACTGCCGTACAAAGCACCAATTTCACCGATAATGTGCACTACACGGCAGACTATGCTGTTGATGGGAACCTCTATTCATCGTCGCACACACATCTCCGTAAGTACAAACAGATATTTTTCCATGGCAAACTGCCACCCGTATAATGGCTTAGAGATTTGTGCCTGGCCTTCGCCACTTTATAAACATTTATACAAATTTGTCGTTCAAGTACATTTTTTAAACACATTTCATTTCAATACCCTCAAGCTTCCAAAACCAAAATGGAAATATTTGAGAATGTTCACATGGCCAAGAAAAGTCTGAACTATTATGTAAAGTGTGTCAATTTTTTATTTTTTTGGTAAATAATAGGCGTAGCCAGAGGGGGGGGGGTCCCCCAATATTTTGTAAAGACTGCCCTTTTCCATTGAAATGCCCTTTTTTCAACAGCGCTTACCAAATATTTTGTAAAGATTGCCTTTTTTAACAAGTGGCCTTTTTCGGAACAAGTGCCCTTTTTAAAAAGAAGTCGTGCCCTTTTTTGTACCATTGGCCGTTCCAGATGCCCTTTTTGTAAATTGCACGCATGTTTCGCCCTGAAAAGCACCATTATTGTCCATTAGTGTGGAGAATTGTCGGTTTTGAACAGCGCCCCATCGACAGATATTACCAGCCCAGCCCCCCCCCCCCCCCCACTATTTGATTTTATGGAGGCCAAGTGTCTGGAGAGAAAAACGTGTCTACATTTCAGCACAGATGTGCAAGTGCCCTTTTCAAGAAATGTCCCCCCACCCAATAAAAAGGACCTTGCTACGCCATTGTATAATTATGGTACATGATGTCCTGCAAAAATTAAAGGGAATATACAACATTTGCAAACATCGAAAAATAAAACTACCAAGTTTTTACGAAATACCTTACTAGGATGTTGGTAAATGCCAGCCTAAAGCATCCTTTAAAATTATGGCACCTGGTGTCAAGTCATTTTCAAGAAAATTGTATTTTTGTATACTTTTCCAACGGTGGTCGGCCGACCACCGTTGGAAAAACCTAACTATTTTTCAACTACTGCTCCAAATTTACAAAAAAAAATCAGTCCAAAATTTGTTTGTTATTGGTTACATGTTCATGAACGGGTGCAGGCCAGCTAGACTGGTTCCCTTACCTTACAATTTTCTGACATCTATAATTTGATCCATTTTTTCTTTAGTAGAATCAGGGAACCAGACTACTTAAATATTTTTGTTTTTCTTGGTTTTTCAAGCATTTTCGTAACACAAAACTTCAAACATGTCAGTTAAACAATATTTGATCTATTATACTAACCCCTCAAATAGTTCATTTCTGAAAATTGCAGCAAAAGCCAATGATGTATATTCCCTTTAAGCTTGAAATTAAATTGCTCATTAACGTCATTCCAGAAAACATCGCACACAGAACTAGAAATCGGCCCACGATAAGTAACCAATTGAATAATTATCTCATCCAACGGTGGGCCTATATATTATATGTAATACATGTTTAAATGAAAACTCTAGTTGTTTTACCTAAATGAAACAAATATTCATTTAAGCAAATAGTTTGACGTCATTTGCATAACTTTGCGTATATTTTCTCATCAATACCATCACACAATATACAGTACACAGTTCTTCCTGAATTCGCTATCGGCGAATGATATTTTCGGCAGCACACGGACATAGCCTTGTGACAGTTTAAGAGTATAATGATCGACACACTAACAGTTCCAGTATAATGATAGCTATAGCTTAATACCATCTCCCCCCCCCTCCCTCATCCCGCCTTGTACTAGCCGATCCGCATCCTTGGTGGCGATTGGACCTCGGTACCCCGCATTGCTTGGGTAGAATCACTGTCATTACTCGACAAGGGTGCTGTGGTAAGTCCCATTTTTTCATTAGCTATATCATTGTCCATGATTTCCAAGCGGGTTTTTATTTGTGGTTCGTTACAAAAATAATTGTGATTTAGTTATAGATTTTGTTTTTGGTGTTGGTGTTGGTGTTGGATATTGGGTTTTGGATTTTTGATTTAGGTTTGGGTTTTAGTTTTAGCTTTGATTTGACTTTAAGGTTGGGGTTCGAGGTTTAGTTTAAGTTAATATTTAGGTTTCGATTTTGGGATAGGGTTTGTGTATTGGTTTTAGTATTGGTTTCGGGGGTCTGGGGTAGGGTATTGGCTTAAGTCTTAGTATCGAATTGGGGATTTTTGATTTGGGGTTCGGTTCGGAATTTTTGTTAAGGTTTGGTTTTGTGTGTGAAGTTGAGGTTTGAGGCATGGGGTTAAATGTATAAGTTAAGTAAATTGTAATGTTTATAGCGCTTTCCATTGCATTATCTCAAAGCGCTTCAAAATAATATTCATCAGGCCACGGCGCCACGCGGCAGCCGATATCAGCACACATCCGTTTCTCTACCCTCACAGGTAGGTACCCATTCTTACTCCTGGGTGGAGAGAGGCAATTGTTTTGGGGCCGCTTGTTTCATTGCAGATCCTGATCGAGGTCATGTGATCAAGCGCGATGCGAAAACAAACAGGAGCTCTCCCGCGTCGAATCATTTAGGGCGCACACGATTGTTGTCTCCTTTAGATTCTGTAGGCAGAAGGGCTATTTTATAGGATAATGTATCTATAATTTTCCAGAAAAAAAGTAAATCAATCCTTCTATTTTTTAAATCACGAAAATACACTCTAAAAGAATTACGAAGAAATGTTGTCACAAAAGTTCATTTGATGCTTCAAATCTACTCACCTTTTCTCCTGTCCGTCGCGCACGTCGCTATCATTGCTCTTGCGAACCCACCTCCATTAAAACCATATCCGGAGCAATTATCGACGCATCGGATCACTGATCGCGATCCGGATCTGCGCGAAACAAACAGGCCCTAAGTGTCTTGCCCAAGTGCACAAACTCCATGTTCCTGGCAGGGTTCGAACACACAAACCATCGTACATGAGTCAAATACCGTAACCACTGGACCATCGGGTTTGAGGCTTGAGTTTTATCTTGGTTTACAGTTGGGGTTGGGGGAGGGTTTCGATTTTTGTGGGTTAAGATGCAGGTTTAGGTTCGGTTTTGCGATCGGGGTTAAGTTCCAATTTTGGTTTTGATTTGGGTCAGAAATTTGGGTTAGGGTATGGATTTCTGTTGGGGTTCGGTTTTGGATAAGGACTCCGTCAAGAAAGACGGAAGACGTGTACAAATCTTTTTATACCCTCTTTTTCCGCCAAAAAGACCAATACAGATTTACTGCAGCACTAGCCCGAGCAGGTCTGAGCCCAAACTACGCCGAGAACCGACCGTGCGGCTCGCCGGCCACAAGAACCGAATCTACCACTGGTGCAACGGTGGATTTCCCGTGTGACACCCCACGTATGGCCAGGTATGTCACCCTGGACATAGACCTAGCCAGTCCTGACGTCACCCTTCCAATACTGCAGCTTGCTGAAGTGATGGTGGACGAGTACACATCGGGAGAATGTACCAAAAATAGCAGTAAGTATGGATCTAAACAACGATTTTGCGCCATGTGGTACGCGCGCACTCGATACTCTTTTGACCAATACAATTACCAAATTGCATGCAAGACTCTAGCTTATGAACGCGTGCAACATGCACGCGGGCGTATTTACCCAACCTCATCCCCATAGCTTTGAGCACTACTCTCCCACTAGCAACTCTTTTACCCTTACTGGACACTTATTTTCCATGTTCAAAAACCTTATGAGAGGCACGGAATAGTCTGGTACGTACGGAAGCGTGCTGCTCACTGATCTCTTCATAAAGACATGGATAGCGTACGGATAACCGCATAAGAAAACCTTTTGAAGCCATATTGGGGAGACCGGTTGGTGTTCTATAAAGGACAAGTTGTCGTCTTTTAAGACGGCCTAAAAGCAGTTGTGATTCACTTTTGTAACATCATGGTTCACCTGGTCTACCTTTTGTCGACGTTCATCACTACCACTGACTACGATTCACAAGTGTTCCAACGTCGTTGTTCACTTTTTGAATGCCGCAGTTCAATTTTTGCGAGGTTTGAAAATATCGTTTCGCCGTAAATTGTCCTTTTTAGAACATAATAAAACATGTAGGGCCTACATGAACAAAAAATACGCGTCAAATCATGATACAGCGCTCGTTGTATGTACGCGTAGAACGTTAATATAATATGGGCGGCCATTTTTGGAAGACCAGGGCAAACTGGTCAAAAAGCGAAAAAATGTTTGGTTTCCTTTTTGGCTATAACCAAAATTTCGGGGCAATTTTTCTTTCTTTTTTTGAGAGGGGGGGGGGGCAGCATTACGCTTCCGAAGGTATGATCTCATAAATCAGCCACTCACTCCTTTCCACGCAGATCTGGCTCCCAAATTCGAATCGGCAACTTTCGAAGTACTCCACAAGAACAGCTTAGTCGCCAACGCGAGCCCACTGGCCACCGAAGTGGCGCGATCGCTGGCACTATGCGCCGGTTACTGTATGGAACATGGCCAGTGTTTCTCCTTTGATTACGGCTCCGGCAAGCAGTGCCACCTCCACAATCTGAACGCAACCTACATTGGGATAACTCCCAGCGAGGGTTCCTCTGTCTATGTGGTTCTGAAGTTCCAGTCCAAATAGAATCAACCAAGCAAGCAAGCCTCAGACGCAGGGCTAATATTGGACTAACCTTGGCAAAAACATTGGGCCAATCTTAGTTGGCTAACATTAGCCCAGCATTAGCCAATATGCCATAACATTGGCTGCACATTGGCAAGGGCCGATTTGGTATTGCCATTTTTGGCAATAGTATGATCAAATTTGTCCCAATTAGCGATATTTACGTGGGCCAATATTGGGTAATGATGGGCAAATATTGGGTAATATAAGGCCAAGATTAGACAAATTCAGCCCAAGACTGCCTTCTAAGTTATAGTCCATTGGCCAGGAGCCATATTCATTAAACCTTACTAAGCCTAGTTGGTTACTATAAAGGCATGTAGTTGCTTACTAAGCCTAGTTGGTAACTAATTGGTGTTCTTGAAACATTACTAGGGTTAGTTAAATTCTAAGTTTCTTACTGAAGTTAGTTTTGATTCAGTGCAACTCTAAGTCACTAGTTAGCGACTAGCCTATATCATTATTTGTTGTGTCAGACTTGGCTCTTTAGGTGGCTTTCCCCCTCCGGTTACCTTGTTGGACTTAATTTGGAATTTATTCTCAGACTCGCTCAAGTAAGAATCGAAAATGGACGAAGAATGGTTTGGGGTATCACAAATCATGAAAATCCAGCTGACATCTGATCTGTTGATACTTTCATATACTTCCTGTGTCATTCCCATGCAGTTTGTATGATACCAGGTATCACACGTATCACAAGCTACAGCTGTTCTCGTTTTCGACCAGCGGACGGCTTTCTTAAAGACCCCACATGGATACTTGGGAGAGTAAGGACCTGGATTTAATTCTGTGTCGTGGGCTTGAGTAATCAGAAGGATGGTTAGATACATCAACACCGAGTTCTTGCTTGGTTTAAAATCAGCAATTTATTTTCTATAACTGAACATGAAGATAACCAGGAGGCTTGCCAAAGCTTTTGGCTGGTGTAGTGGTTCATCTTGGTAAGGCTAGCTGCAGGATACCACATGAAAAAGTTCAGGTTCATTGATGGTGGGTGAGACACAACAAAAGGTGAGACATGCTGTTCATTTTTTACAAAGTTGGTAGCCAATATTGGCATAAAAAGTAGCGCTGCAAAGATATGTGGGTCAAAAATGACTGATAACTGACCTTAGTTCCGATAGCAGGGGGTAATATGAGGCATCAAACCTGTCACGATCACCATACACTGTACAGCATGTACAATGCGATCCAAGATGGCTGCACTGGTGTGACCCCGCGAATGCACAGTCACCGTCACAGAAGAACTAAAAAAATGCTGGAGTTTAGGGATCCAATGAGGCAATAGGCAGGTACAATAACGATCCAGGGGAGTAGGAGGGAGTATAATGTGACAAAAGAAAACAGCGTCCAGGACCAAAAATGGTGAAAAAACACGAGCTCAGTGAGGAGAATTCCGAAAACAGGTGTTCCCGCGACCGCGACCTTTGTCATCCATATTTGTCTGCCATAAATAGTTGCCTTCTTGAGAATAATTTGCCTTCCTTGCCCTTGTTATAGCCATGTCTGATATACTATCCATATATGCAATTGCTAGAGGATTTGATGTTGATTCACTTACACGCAGTAGTACTGTACCACAATATGGGCCTTGGTCATTTTTTGTGCTAATCCACGCAAGTTCTGGACATGGATTAGCCTAATACACCTGTCACACTGTTGTATCTGTTGTCATCACATTCCATACATGCCCACTGCACCCAAAGCACCCAATTCCAATTACTGACGTATACAACTAAATTCTCCTAGTATGTAACTAGTAAGCAAGGTTCTTAGTAAGGTTTCATGAATTACAATTTAGTTGACAACTCCATAGTAGACTTAGTCTCGGTTCTCGACGCTCCTTGTGTTTTTATTCGACGAGCGCAACCCATGGCACCCAAAACCATTAACCAAGGAGCGTCGAGAACCGAGACTATAGCAGACTACTAGGCATTTTAGTATCCTGCTAAGGCCTAGTTGGCTGCTAAGTTAGTAAGGTTTCATGAAAATGGCCCCTGGACCTCAACATTGACCTACCGTACCATCCGATGTGGCAAAATCTGGTCGGTATTGTTTAATTGCTAAACATCTCTAGTTTATATTAGCCTTTGCAAAGTGGAAGTTATGTATTGGTTATCAACCTCTGATTGATCACACTCCAGCATGCAGCAATAGGTTTTCGTCTGCAGGCTAGTAAGGTCATTTACCTTTATGCGCATGCGTGAAACATTTCACGTGAGTGGGGTTTCTTTCTTAACTTGTTTAATGAAGTCCTATACTAATAAACAAAAAACCATCCGTTTGTGTGCTCCCGATTCGTGGCTGAGGAGAATTTTTTAAGGGACATTAAGTTTTAGAATCATTTCGTAAATCAACTGACTCATGCTTACTTTTACTTTTTCAGCCATTGTCGATCCAGCCTCAGCATGATGTCTCTAAATGCATCTATTTTGTGCTTGATGGTACTACTTGACTTTCCCCAGTATTGTTGCAGCTTGTCTCTCCATCCTCTTCTCTGGCGCCCTCTATATTATTTCGTTTGTTCTCATATGTTGTCCAGTGAATGATTGCTAAACTCCTGTTCTGCGGTTAATGTGTCCCGCCCAGTTCAATTTCCTACACTTTACTGTTGATATAAATGTCCTGAACTTGGTCTGTTCCCTTATCCCTTTGTTTGTTTCTCTGTCCTCGTGCGTGATCTCTAGTAGTTTCCTTTCCATTTTTTTTGGATAGGGTCCAGGTTTCAACTCCGTATGAGATAGCAGGGAGAATGCACTGATTACACACCCTTTTATAGGCACATTGGGAGGTTACCTTTCATGATGGTGCTGTATCTGCCATAGGCTTGCCATCTAGCTTTGATTCTTCTTCGTATTTTGTTGTCTTGGTTTTTGTCTTGAAGGGAGAACCGTTGGCCTAGGTAGATGTATTCGTTAACCTGTTCTATTTCTATGCCATTTATTAGTACTTCCTTTGGAGTTGCTGCATGTCCTGCCTCGACCTTTGTCTTTTTCATATTCATTTTAAGTCCAGTAAGTGCTGCGTCCGGCTCTTGCAACATTGTCTGCAAATCTGAGATGGCTCAAATTTCCCCATTTATGCTGACTCTTTTAGTTGACCAATTTAGTGTTTTGAAAATTCCCTCTAGGCAAGCTGTAAATCATAGCTTTGGTTTGTGATCCTTTGTCTCCCTGTCTTAGTCCCTTCTTTATCATATTTTCTCACTGTCCATGTGCATTTTGACAATGTTGTAGCAGCCGGAATATATGTCTCTGTAGATCTTGATGTATGCGTTGTTGATTCCCTTGTCTTCACGTTCTTTCAACACTGCCCAGATTTTAACAGAATCAAATGCCTTTCCATAACCAACGAATGCTACGCATGCGCATTATGTTAATTGACTATAGGCCTACTTGGTTGGCGAAAAAAAATTACCGCCAGCAGGGAAAAAAAGTTCTCTGCAAAACATTCACCGATCTAAAGCCTTTTCCCAAACTGCAACACCCCTCTAGATCCGCTTTTATGTTTATTAGTACATATGATGTGCCAGATATTGAATTTGCAATGTGTGATTAATAGTACAGTCGAATTGAATTGACTGTTGCAGCAGGTGCAGAGGCGGATGTGCCCTCTGGCTAGTGAGCCATTGTTGACTGTGAGATATACATATATATATTATATATAAATATATATATGCATATTTGATCAGTACAGCAGCAATAAAATATTTCTCATTCATGGAAATTTATTCACTCTGCCGCCATGACTATTAAACATGTCCAATAAAATGCAGTCAAAAACAGAAAGTGAAAGTCACTGGACCTAGATCGCGTACTAGGCCAGCTGGCCAGCTGTCCAAAAAATCTCACTCTATTCCGACAGATGGTCCTAAAGGCTTGGGTTTAGAAATGGTAAAACACGAGAAGGCTTGCTCGTCAAGGTGGACATGAAGCCAGGCTCAGGCAGATTTACTATCGCCGTGCAAAATTGCGAGTTTCGATCGCCACGAAAACTTGATTTTGAATTGTTTATGCATTTATAATATGTTTTATGCCAAAACAGTCTAAACTGTTTTCCAATGGGGCCCTGCATACATCACAAGTTATTAAAGAATGTTTAACAAAGTAAAACTCATAAGGAAAAAGTGCATTGGCGAAACAGACGAACAACATTAATATAGGTTTTCCCGGTAAGTTTAATACATTTGGCAGCCAATTTGACGACGAATCACTCCTTTTCGCACAAATTTTGATGCACGTTTGGATCAACATTCAATAAACTAAATAAATGGTTCAATTTAAATTTAAAAACATGCGATTGCACTTTAAAAGATAATGCATCCAAATTAAAATTTCACATTGGGTCATTCGAATTCGCTTTCAGTTGCGTCAGTTTGGTCATTCGAACTCACCATTAAGCAAGCATTTAGTGTATAAGCACAGGCATTTGAAAACGGTTCATGTTATTCATATGTTCAACAGGGTGTTTTTGTTCCAATTGGAAGTACACGAGAACTTTTCTCACAAGATTCTGCCACAAAGCAGCAGCCGCATAATAGCCAAATTGATCACTTTTTCCCCGCTATTTGTTTTGCCTATCAAAGGAAAAATCAGTCAATGCACTGAAGCAAACAAAAAAAAATAAGCATGTTTAAGATAAAGCGAATTGAGCAAATATCTCGGACATATGAGAAAACAAACGGTAAAAGAGCATCAGCAACTATGAAAAGGCAAAAGTTTAAAATATTTTGCGAAACTAAATGTCTAAACAAAAAGTCGAACATGATTAGCATCATATCTTTTAGTGGAAAACAAATGAAAAGTAATCAAAACGTCACGTCATCATTATGGAAATGAAAAGTAAACTAAATTTAGCCTGTAGAACGGTACCAGTGTGTGTAATCCTAAGGCCAAATAAAAAAAAACGTGTTTAGGCCCCCCAAAAAGTCTTCGGTTTCTGGTATGCGCGCGCGTCGCCGTAGCCATGCGCGTCGGCAAAATGAAAACGTTTTTTTTTCAATGAAAGATGATGTCTCAAAACCGCCAAACTCACTGGTTTGACTGGAATCCTGCTGCTGCACAATTTTAACGTGTTTTTAGATTGGGTTATGATCGAGAATAAGCTTTATGTGGCCCTTTCTGGACTCCCATATATTTGCACTAAGTTTAGTCGGGCGCCATTTGCAGTCATCAGCCGACATTTGAAGCAAAGAAATCAGGTAAAAAAAAAAAAAAGCCGCGTCGCCACACCACTTTTTGGGCAAGCTCCATACCAGAGCGTCCTGCATTTTTGAGGAGGCCCCTTGTTTTTTCCAAAATGGCCGCCCGACCGGGCTAGTTTTCAAGATGGCCGCCAGCTTTTTTTTAAATGACCGCCACTTGGACGGAGGACTGACATACCAGTTTGATATGGGCTAGATGCAACAGACAAAGAGGCCAAAATGATGTCACTGTTTAAAATGTATAATTTGTTCGTTTAATAAAAAAAAGGGAGGCGGCCTCCAAAAAGGAAGCGGGGGGGGGGGGGACGCTAAACATGTTTTTATTTCGCCTAGCTCTGTTTGCAGATATAACAGAAGAATTAAAAACGAAATGCCATGTAACAGCAAACAAAATATAAAGTCAGTGGAATGGGGCGGGGCATAGAGGGGAAGAGTGGGTGCTTGGGGGGGGAGGGGGGTAGGGGCACTCTATTGCCTGCTTATTCATTAACCGGTTTACAACTGAGATTTTTATTTACAAATAATGTGGTAGAATAAGGAGGGCTTCATTTTGGGGCATTATAAACACTTAATAATAATGGGGAAAAATAAAATGCATATTTTTTGCCTTTTAAGAAGAAATAATTCTTTTTACAACACTACTGCACCAAAAATACACCCCAAAGTTTTCTCACCAGATATGCAAATACCAATGTTGGTCCTACTGAGTGCCCTGGCAAATTGTTGGTTTTTTTTCAGGGGTAAAAATGCGGTAAAAAAAAAAATCAATTTTGAAAGTTTAAAATTCCAGCTGTTTTGAAGCGTCTAAAATCAATAGGCCTATAAGGAGGTGTTTCAAAATGTGTTTTGCATTTTGTCCAGGAAGGGTAAGGACAGTGCTTTGCACTGATATAAGTTTAAGTGAAATTATTTTGCATTTTGGCTGGATGGCCTTTAAAAAATCACCCAAATCAATTTTAGCAGTTTTCAAAATGGCCCAAAACAGCCAAAAACACATAAACGCATGCTACCATGGCAACGGGCAAAACATTGATTTAAAAATGTCTATTTTGGTTACTCACTCCCAAAGTAATCGATTTTTTTGACCGTGGACACTTATATGAAGTATTTACACGAAATGACTCTTAACTCTGTCAGAAAATGGAACTCAGTTTAGTCTAGCAAAGAATGGGTTACTAGTTTTCTGTCAATACAAAAGTACGGTTATTCACTCGTGAGTGAGACATTGAACAAAGAAATCACCTACGTTTAGTTATGGGGATATTTACTGCACAAATGTTGAATTATATGCGGCATAAAAGCGACTAGTCCCATATCAGTTTATCAAAGCTGCCACCATTTATACTGGAACTTTCAAATAGAACTTATTCAGACTATTCAATGCCAAAAAAAAGAAGTCTTGTAAACAACAAGGACACCACGCACGTACACAATAGTGTGTAAACACCTGCAATCGTGGACCCCTATTGTCCCTCTTTGTTTGTACCCTAACTTTATGGGAAGACCTCCCATTATTTTTCCACGATCGTCAATTGGGGACCTTCGGGAATTGTGGACCCAATTGTCCTCTATTGTTCAAAGTCCCCTATTGAATGCAAAAACGAACCCGCATGTTCAGGCAATAAAGTAGGCATCATCGGCACATTTTTGAATTGAGCAAAAGTTCTAGCAAAGGTTCCTATTAAGTTAGTACTATAACAGCCCCATAAATGTGGCCCATTTACTGGACTACCTCCGTAAACATAGGCCACACTTCCACCATGTACAAAAAACATGTCGAACTTTGTCAAATTTTGATTTTCACATTTAGGCTTAGTTTGTAGGGTTTTTTGGCTTTAGAAGCATACTCACCCTCTTTATAGGCTAATCAGAAAGTGCTGCCTTTATCAGATGTCTATCTTTCGTGAAATTTCCAGATTCATTTGCACACGTTTGCGTATCAAAATTTCAACATGAAATTTCACAAATATTAGACATCTGAAAAAGGCAGCACTTTTTGATTAGCCTATAAAGAGGGTGAGTATGCTTCTAAAGCCAAAAAACCCTACAAACTAAGCCTAAATGTGAAAATCAAAATTTGACAAAGTTCGACACGTTTTTGTACATGTGGAAGTGTGGCCTATGTTTACGGAGGTAGTCCAGTAAATTGGCCACATCTATGGGGCTAGTACTATAACAGCAAAATCTCCACAGCAAAAACTGCCTAGTGCTAACAGTTCTTGTAGCGATAAATACACCACCTATACCCAAACAATGAAGACAAAGCTTACCTCAAGTAAAGATAAGAAGGGAACAAAAAACAATTCCAACTGGTATGATGTCATCTTCAACCTCACGCGATTTACATACATCCATTAATAAGATCCTAATTACGATCCCTCTGTCAAGAGCTAAACTGTCTATTCAGATCGTCATCTGATCCAACAGGGAAACATTATATGAGTTATAGCTCATGTTGACACCATCCAGAATGATAATTTTTCTCAGATTTTTTTTCAGTGTATATTAGTTTCCAGCACTAGTTTTGAGATTCGATGTTCACAATAGCTGTGTTCAATAACTAGACAAAAGATGATTTGATGCCATCAGACTTGTGATCTACAAATCTATATATATATATCGGTGGAATTACTTTAAAACACACAGATGTTATCCCCTGGGTATTTCCAAAGCATTCTTAAAACTTTTCAGGTTCCGATTTCAAGTTTTTATGCAGCTCGTATACCGGAGTCGCCGATAGTGACGTTGACAAGCCACATGTTGTTTTTCTTGAACTTGTCCACTTTGGCGTCGTGGCCACGTACCTTAAATCCCACGTTATGCATTATGATGGTATCGTTGTTTTCCCTCCTCCATTCCGGTAGCCAAAACACATTAGCATGCGGGAAATGCTTGACGGGCAAGGGTCTGACGTCAACGCGTACCGGCTGGTCCTTGTGCAACAGGTTATTCAGGATGGCCTGGTCGGATCCCCTGTGCTTCGGATTCGCCAATATTTCCACCCACTTCTTGACGAACATGATGGTCTTTTCTGTTGGCTTGAAGTAGCCCAGGCCGGCGCAGTGGCCGGACCCAGTTTGCAGTCTGGTCGGGTAAGGGGAGCGCTCATCCACAAAGGACATGTCAAAGTCCCCTTGGAAATACGAGAAAGGATCTTGAAACCAGAAGGTATCCACGTCCGTGAAGAAAACCTGGAATCCCTGTTGCAACAGGGACAGGATGTACTTGTGGCGTCTGTTCACGAGGCGGTTATATTCGGGGCTGAAGACCAAGAGCTTGTCCGATGAGGCGTCTCCCTCGACCATTTCCAGCACGGTTATCGCTGGGTCGCCCTGGGTAGCACTGAGCAGAGCCCGGTAGGCGTTCTTCTCCGCTGCTAAGATGGTGGTGTTCAGGCAGACCCCGGTCCTTTTGATACTCTCCAACAGGTTCAGTGCCATGTCCATGAAGGCGGTGTTGGTGTGAAGCAGCAGCACAACACCGGGCTTCTTCTCAGTATCGGCCAAGGTGCAACCAGAAATCTTCCCCCGGATGTCCACAGTTCGATTTGGTGGCGGCGAAGTCGCGTGGTTGGAGAATGTCTGGACTCGCAGAGCGCTCACAGCGGCATGTGCCATTCTCGTATCCTTGCCTTTAGTCCTGTCATCTTGTAGCGTCGTGAAATGACCTGAAGAGTAATGATCTGCAAAAGAAACCAAAACAAGAGCAAAGGCCAAAACTATTTATTCTCAGAAAGAGCATAGAAACAGAAAGAATTTAGAGAGTAACTCTGAAACACAATTTTCGTTTCATTTTATCTTGTCAAATGGGACGAGAGTTGAACATATTTGGGAATATTCTTGTTTGATGAATCTGCACAAGCAAAAAGTTAGCTTTCCACACTGCTGTGGCGGACCCAGCTTTAGCTGAAGGGGGTAGCTGTGGGGGGGGGAGGCATTTGCATATTTTTCTGCATAATTTGGGTTTTTTTTGGCCACCCAAGGGGGAGGGGGTAGACCACCTATCCCCTTCCGTAGATCCGCCACTGCCTTAGTTGATTTTCACGCCAACTTCACGTATACACAAAACTGTTGTTTCAGGTTGGTTACCAAATTTCGATCTATTGGGAAAGGGGGAAGGAGGGATCACAGTAACTAAACACGATGTTCCATTAGCGATTGACTTACATATCAACACGAAGACGCTAAAAATTTGCAGAATGACCATAAACGCCAGTGTAGAACGTTTGCACTCCATCTTTCCTCTCCGAAAACTTTCTGAAAAACGACATTCATCGATAAAGAACTCATTAAGAACAACATTCATCGATAAAAGAGAAACTGACGTGAGGCTGTGAAAAACATTACATTTCTTTCCCCAAATATTATTGTCATAGTTGGGATTCCCCCCCCCCCCATGCAAAACAAAACAAAAACAAGAGACGCTTTGCGATGTAGAAGCCTTCAAAGTCTTTGAAGTTAATTGACTACGTTTAATGATTCATAAAAAAAACCGATAAAATGGAGTCAAAAAGTTTTTAAAAATTTAAAAAGGCGATAGAAAACGATTTACATATTCCCTGATATGGCGATTCTTCTAGGCCTAATATGTACATGTTACGGTTGTTAAATTGTGTGGACGTTGCTCATTGTGGCGGATAGTTCATGTTTGTACAGTTACTCAGCTTTACTGGAAAGTGCTGTTTGCTGACGTTCTCCCATACATTGAAAAATGAGGGTCGATTTCCCATGGAATGCATTTTGCACATTACTCATAAAACCCAAATAGTATCAACCCCATTGCGCATACGTTTGCAAGCTACTAGGCATAAAGTAGTGACAACTTTGCAGGTCAGATTATATGCTTTGGAGCGTAGCTTCTTTACAATTGAAAACCCAGACAATTGCAAACGAAAGGAACAGGAACAAATAAACCGCTGTATGCGTATATCACTATGAAGGGGGTTGAACTATTGGCAAGGCCGTAGCCAGTACTGGTTCATTGAATTCTTATGGATATTATTTCTTTCTTTTTTCTTTTTTTTAATTCTTGCATCTTTACACACTGTGTATTTTGGTCAGTTATTTCCCGCTTCCTTTTCTCACAAAAACAAAAAAACCCACCTGATTTCTGCCTAATGGCTGCGAGGTTTTGATGTGATCATTTTAATTTCAATTTCAATTTCAACAGACATTAATTTTATTTCCATATGTTGCAGAGAAAAATGGACAAAGAATAATAACAGGTAAGATAACTAAATTAACTTAAAATTGTGCAGAAGCAGGATTCCAGTCGAACCAGTGAATTTGGTGGTTTGAGACATCATCTTACATTGAAAAAAAAAAACCTTTTTAATTTGCCGACGCGCCTGGCTAAGGCGACGCGCGCGCATACCAGAAACCAGAGCCTTTGTTGGCCTAATAATCATTTACTTCGTTTCATATGAATAAAAAGGAGTAAATGCTTCAGATTTCAAATATGCACTTGTCATTTACAAGGCTGGGTTGGGGCAACCTTGAAATTATAAAGCAAATTAATTCTGCGCAAAAACTACAGCATTTATTATATGTTAATCGCGACAAATGATACCATGTTCGTATGAATAAAACATGGCATTTGCTTTTACTTCCAATGTTGAAGCATTTCTTCGCATCTGTTCAATGAAAATTAAGCAAACACTTTTCTAAAAACCATTTGCTAAAATCTGAAAATAATTAGTTTTTTACCTTTTAGCTTTTGCTACACTATAAGCGTTTACTTCGTTTCATATTGAATATAAAAGGAGTAAATGCTTCAGGTTTCAAATATTTGCTTGTCATATTTCTGAAGTCCTTTATCTAGAGAACTGTAAGTCCAATTAGGTTGAAACTTGGTATGTGACTAGACCGGGATGTATTATAGGTAAAAAATGAGGTGACGTCAAGATGACGTCATCCTGAGATTTTATATGAATATTTGAATTTTTGGACCGTTTCTCCATATCTCACGAACGCAACATGCAAAGTTAAAAATTCTTTTTGTATTTGGTTTGTAAGGTAATAGATATTTGCATAACATTTTTGAAAAACTTGGGTAGGTAGATAATGGTACTAGCATGCAAAGTCCGAAGTGACGTCACGATGACGTCATCGTTTGATTTTTTTATGATTTTTTAAATATTTATAATTTTATTCTGCTTCCAAAATTGCACACTTTCTTTCATCGGATTGACATTAAACTTGGTTCAAACCAAGACCACAATGACAAAATGTGTATTGAGAAGGGTTTTAAAGATGACGTCATTGCAGGGCATGTGACGTCATGTGATAAACTTATATTTTAGGAATTATTCTAAGCATTTGAACAACCTTTAACTGCATGAAGCACTCTGACAAGTGACTGCAAAAGGACCAACGAAACATTAACTTTTGTAAAATGCGAAAAGCCCTGTGTTCTGTTTGCAAACAGACATGGTGACGTGGTGACGTGTTATTGATTTAAAAAAAGTAAATAACGCGGAAAAGCCCTATGTTCTGTTGCAAACAGACATAGATCTCTAGTTGTAGTACTTTTTGTGTTCCGAGATGGGAAAGGGAATGTACCTCCGACATCCACTATTCCACCATTTCATTACCAAATCCATTTTCTTCCACTTACGGCTTTGGAATGTATACACATGTATGTACTCAGAAGAAAACGTTAAATCAATTTTAATAAACATATGTACTACTGACGTAACACTGTTTACATGTGCACTTTTTTATGGGAGCCTGGTGGGGACGGCAGTTCGTATAGCTAGATAGAAGCGCACACGTTTATGTGAAGGCTAAAACAAGTTTTTCATTCTTAAAACTCTACCGAGTTCCCCCTCCAGAATTTAGTTTCCCCCCCCCCTGCATAATTGTAACTCCGCCTTCGGTGGTCAACAAATAAAAACACCTTTGACCGTAAGAGAACTTTGCTGCTACACCGAGCCCAGACTATGTATTAGAGTGTGCATAAACTGGACGGGGAAACAAAAGCACGGAGTTTAGAGAGAACTCCTGTATTACGATATATAGTTTTAGTGATTCCTGAGATATGATTTGTCCAAGAAAGACACCGAGAAACTTCGTTAAATATACTTGAGTAAGCGAGGTGCCATCAATAAGGATAGGAGAAGCTGTGCCGAGTTAAAAATTAGTAGAATTGTTTTTGGCTGATTGTAATATAGCTAATGAAATTGGCTTTCCAGTCATTATTATTTTCGTGCTACATATTTTTTTAAATATGAAATATAATTTTGGGGGTTTGGGTTCCGCTTTTTTTTACTCACCCTGTAGTTAAATATATCATTGCAATGTTGAAATTTGCTCTTTGGGACGTCATACCCGAACATCACGGGTAGTATCGCGGTAAATCGCCTTCAAAAAATAACAAAATCTCCCTTACCTTGTACAAATAGAGCCGCTGGACTTGCAGAAAGTGTGAAGTCCCGGCAAATCTGTTATATCAAGTTGTTTGTCGTCAAAATGGCGTGTTGCACGATGCGTAAATCCTTTATTCGAGGTCAGCACACAATGAACACCAATACCAAAGCATTGCAGGCCAACTGATTGGGAAATACTGTGTCTGTAGTCCTTTCTGGGCGAGTGAACTCGTTGAAAGCCTTAGTACTAAGGGCAATAAACACTGATAAAGCTATTGTTGTACAATAATTTACATAATAACGTGAACTTGGATGCTCCCTGTACAGAATCTCGGCACTCCTTATGGACAATATCTGACAATATTTCGCAAAAACGGACAATATTTTGCAGGAACTGACACTATTTTTGGCAGGAACAAGCAGCGGACAGTTAGTCTGAGTATCATCTGTTACTCAACAGAGCCTGCACGCTCCGCAACAACGTCTGATATGTACATGTACCTGATCTGATATGCACGTTTTATGCGACCCTATAGCGCCAGGCAAACGGATTACTTATGTGATGCATGCCAGTAAATCGGTCCAAAATTGCCTACGCCGGCCAAATCACGATTTGCATGCCCTCAAATTCTTCAGTATTTGAGAGTATTTTGGGACATGAACTTGAGGGTTTGTAGAAAATATGGGTGGAAGCCGTGCACAGGACTGGGAGCTTGCAGTTCTGTGTAATTTGGATGTAATTTGGACCCTAAAAGCGCTCTATTTTGCAATGGAGTGTAGGCATCGTTTTTCATAACGGCGATGGGCTTCAGGACTATTTGAAGGGGTGATCATCTTCGGATGGAAATTTCTCCTAAATGTCATGAGTTGACCCTCCAAAAATTGAAAAGAAAATGAAAGATGATGAAATAAGCTTTAAATTGACGTGTGTCTCGAACACCTTGGAGAATTGTGAGTATTTTCCCGAATTTCTGAAGTGGGAGCATTTACCATTGGGGTCTATGGAAGTTTATTTACTGGTCTGGAATCTATAATTTCAAAATGGCGGCGTCCGTGTTGTTATGAAAGTGGAATTGAAAAGGGGCAATTGCTGTCTGAAATTGTTGATTACAAAATGAAATAAACACAAAAAAACTTTCAGAGACAATTTCTTGACAAATTTTTCTGAAGTTCTAATATTTGGCTGTGTTTTTATTGAAAAACAATTCATGCACCATCATTCGTGTGGATTGTTATGTAAACACAAAGAGTACACACTGCTCCATTCACCATAGTCTTAAGGTGCTTCGAATAGTTTCTTTTCGTTTGCTAAATTTTCCTTTACTGGCTAAAACAGGTCTATGTAATTTCATTAATATTAATTAAATAAAGTATTTTCACTCTTTACAGATAAACCGGCTTGGCAGTACTGTCATATTCAAAGTAAATACGAGGCAGGGAGAGGCATTGCAGTACTAGAGTACGTATGGAAACTTACAGCCAATGGCATGAATGAATGTACCGGTAAGCACTTCTTAATGTCAAAATGGAGGCCAGCGATATGAAACTATGGTGTGGAAGGATAACATTTGCAATTTTAAGAAGAGCCAAAACAAACAGAAGTGGATGTTTGGTGTGGGCGGGGTCCAAGAAGACTGGTTCCAGAAAAACAAAATATGGCCAAATCTCATGCCGAGTGCCTGGCTCGAAGAAACGCACAATGAAAAGTGTGCATCGAGTGGCTTACATCGCACATACCGAGAATTTCAATTTGCTACGGGAGTGCGATGTAAGTCACTTGTGCCACAATTCATTGTGTGTCCTCTTCGAGCACCTTTCCTTGGAGCCAAGGCTGGTCAATAACCAGCGAAAAACTTGCCGAAGGCAAAAGAAATGCCAAGGCCATGGCACATACAAAAGTTGTGTCCTATGAAAAACTAGTGTAAGTATGGCACTAAATTATATTACTAGCCTTCCACAAAGTTAAATTACTTGCTAGGAAACTGCTTGCAATAATTATGGTCGAGTCTAACATTGTGACTTCCATTCACTCCTTGGAATTTGAAACCATGCTTCGGATTCAGTTGGCCCTTCTTATACATATTTTGGGTAGAATAATAGGAATGAAACCTCTTAGATCTACACTGTGCGCGGCTTTTTCTGTTGGCTACCCCCTTTTTCTTTCAGCATGATATTTATGTGCCTTTTCTATTTCAGCGAGGGCTTTTGCAGCTGGAGAGCCTGGAGTAACTGAGCAACTAGCAGCTTTGCACTTTTTCACGATTGAATTGGCATGCCCATTATTGACCATATGGATGGCACTGTGGTCCCGACTAGAACCATTTCTAGAGAAGGTTTGTGTTCCTTTTGGGTTTGTAATTCGCTCGTACCCCCCGCCCTGCAAACAGGACGCTGGGATACTCTGATGCGCTTCACAGAATCTTGTGAAGGAAGTGGCCTATGACCTATGTATAAAGCATCTGGCTGCAGCTGTTCAAGACCGCAGTTAGACAATGTGCGCAAATGCTATCCGAAAACCTCCTATAGAATTGCGCACATTCCATACCGGATGTGATTTCTGTTTCCTTGCGGACCATGTGGGCGAAATTTTGAGCGTCGCATAATGCAATCCGAACGTTCGTGATTGGTGATTCGAAACGGAGCCTGAGCGAGCGATGGGAATTGTAAATTTACAACACAGATAAGTTTTACATAATTTCCTCCATTATTACGCTTTTCAACGAGAAAAAAACCACCTGTAAACTGGGATAAAAGAGTAATGAATCAGTCTTAACGGCCGTTTCAAACCTTGCAGAGTCATGACCTTGATGACGCGCAGGTCACTGGTCACGCAAAATCCAACCAATCAGAGCGTGAATTCATCAGAGTATCCCAGCGTCCTGTTTGCAGGGCGGGGGGGGGGGGGGGGGGGTGGGAGCGAAGGTTTGTAACCGCAAATGCATGGTTCATCGATTTAGATTTTTGGGTACTTGTTCCATATTTGTTTTTTTCCAAAGCTTCATTGCCAATTCTTTTGCTGAGTAGTCTAAGAACAGTTTGTTCATCAGTTGCTGAAATGTTTAATTTACCCCGAGCATCAGCTGGCAGGTATGGAAACTTATATCTACCACCTCCACAAACTATTGACCACTTTCTACAAAGTATATGTTTCCCCATGTAGCACTGAATGATGGCTTTTGCTGCTTTTTCAGCCATGTCAGCCATCTTCAAGGGCGGATCCAGAACACAATTTTTTGGGGGGGCCAAAACATTTTTTTGTTCCCCAAAAAAAGTGGGTCAAAAAATTACGGCGTGGGGTTCGGGGCCCGCTTAAGGGCCCCGAAAAATTTTTGGATTCTAGATGCTCTGTGGTGCGATCTGAGGCAATTTCTGACCACTTTAACCAATTTTTTTGAGGAAAAGATGGTGGTGTACTCATTGCCTGCCTTTATTGCAATGTCACATAAAAAAAAAAAAAAATTGGTTTCGTTTTGGGGGGGGGGGGGGGGCATGGCCCCCTTTGGCCCCCCCCCCCCTGGATCCGCCCTTGGCCATCTTGCAGGAGTCTCTTCTGAACTTGTTTACAAGTGCAGCAGCCTCGGCTTGTGCTCTGTGGCTGATATCGTCAGCAAAACGATTTTGCAATTTTCTCTTTTCCTTTTTCGTTTTTCCTGGAAACATGCCTGCACAAAATTTTGCCCGACCTATGGCTGCATAAAGTGACCGATTAAAATGAGGAGGGTCTAGTGAATGTTCAGTTTCCATACCTGCCTGGCTTTGCATACATGATTTCATTCCTTTTGCCAGACACCCATCGGCATCAGTTGTAACCCTATTTACTACAAGAGGCTCATTACAGTTTATCAGTTTTTGTGCACATTGACGGCCACCTTCTTGTTCATCGCCCATATTGAAGGTAGCTGGACGAGTAGCTGTGCATGTCTCCTCCTGCTTGCAGTTGGCATTGTCACTTTCCTTACAAAGTTTGTTTCATGGTGGAACATCACGACGTACTTCTTACTTGTCACGTTTTCACAAACGACGCCTCTCGTTTGTGTTGCTGGCACAAACAGTATTTTTTCCGAGCATTTCTGAGGGGGTTGTTGTACTGTCTGTCCATCTCAACTGCCACAGGGCTTTCCCTGTCATGACCCTGTAGTTCGTGAATGTCTTTCACAATTCTTCTTTTATCACTCATGTCCCTTTTATTTTCAGCAGTGATGATTTTTTGCATTTGTCTGCGAGGTTTTGCAGACCAGGTTTTGCAGGAACGGTTGTGTCCATCGCTGACAGGAGCCGCCGAGCACCTGCGGTTGCAATGCTGGTGCCGTAAAGGCCAACTTGCAATGCCATATTGGGAATGGCAGTCTTTCTCCCCTTTCCAGTGTGTTGTATTTCACTGTACAGGTTTGTGTGGTCGGTGTGAAATCCGCACTTCTGGCAGGCCAACATCTCAGACACACCCAGACCTCTGCGCACCTCAGCATCATGCACAAGTTCGGGTTGACTTTCACACCCAGGATTTGCTTGCTGATGACTAAGCAGGCGCGGTTCTAAAGCCAATATTTTTGGGGGGCTAGCAAGGTAAATCCAGAATTTTTCCAGGGAAGCGTGCTGAAATGTATACCGGTTATTATTTCCGGACACTTAGGCCTCTGAAAATCATACGTGGTGGGGGGGGGGGAGGCTCGTTTCATATTTTCTACGGGGAGCGTTCGCTCGTACCCCCCGCCCTGCAAACAGGACGCTGTTTGAAAAAGCATTACATACCTGCTTATTTAATTACCATGAAATCTTTCTGTTCATCTTAGGTTAATGACATAATTTAGTGATCAGCAATAGTTTTAAGTTCAGATTCACATTTGTGGAATTAATAGGAAGTTCAGTGATGACTTGAAAAACCAATTTGTCTACATAAAAACAGGGCATAATATAGCCAAAGCGTTAAGTTTTGCATAATTTTATGCTTTGTATACAGTGAAACCCTTACAAATATGAAACTTTTGGCTTCAAAATACTTCATGTTGGGTTAATGATGTAATTCGGTCATCTACAAAGAGCATTTTCAGCTCTGCATTTGAGAATAATAATTCCTAGAAAAAAATGTATTATTACATACTTTGTAATTATTTCCCATCAATTTACAATACTTGGAATTCAAATTTTAGACAGTTTGTTTAATTTGGATAATCGACATAATTGAATAATCTTTCAGCATCACATGAAACATTTCAGTGATACTTTGGAAAAAATACTGAGTAAGCATACAACACTGAATATTACCAAAGCGTTACATGTATTTGCTGAATAATTTCCTACTTAAACAAAACAACAATAAACTTTAATTATGAATTTTTTTTGCATCAAAGACTATTTAGTGACATGTTATTCAGTCATTTACATTTATGGAGACAGTGTGGTCTGCCTTATGGATATAAAATCAGTAATGCCTAAAATACCAGGTGGTACATGTATATGTAATAAAACATTGCATACAGATACACAGTATGTCAAAGCATTGTTT